CAGAGTGAAGGAGAAATGCAGGTATATACAGTAAAATAAAAACAAACAATTAAGTTGATTGGGTGGCCCTTGCATCCAAGAGAGTCTATCCAAAATAAGCAAAAGACTGTCTCTCCATAATTTCCACTGACCACTGCCTTGAAAAGCCATCAACCCCTTTGTGCTCCTTCAATATGAGCTGAACGGCTTCACTGTGGCTTTGAAGGCATAAAGCAGGATCTCCTTCTCAAATGATCCCTTTTGTAATCTTTCCTTGGAGACATAGTAAACCTTGGTGCATGATGCTCTTTGCAGCGGAAGCAAAGTGTTACACTTGGTAACCAAAGCCTAACTTTGTCACCAGGGTTCTAAGGCGCAGTTGGGTAGGAAGTGGAACAGCAGGAGGTTTCTGTAACCATTATCTGACAATTTGTGTGCAGCAAGTCAAGAATATTCCAATTCGATTCCCGGTTTCTCACTCTGGGGACTCTTTAACAGTCATTTGAGTTTTCTTCACATGCTGTAGGTGGAATAGCTGATGATTTCCCCCCTTGAAGTCCCTCCTGTGCCCTTTCCCAACCTATATGTGCTTGTTTAGTGAGCTTCATGACAAATGGATTCTCCTATTACAACCTAGACCAGTAAGGTAACTTTGCCTCTGACATACACTTAAATCATAAACATATATTGTGAGAATGCTCCAGACTCTCACAGCTGTTTTGACATGGAGACTCACTGCCTCTTTTGTTAGCAGCAGGATCAGTTAAACCACGAGTATCCTAAGTTTTGCTGGTTGTAAATCCAATATTAAAGCATTTTCACTGTATTTCCTCTAAATGGTCTTTGACAGTTAATTTTAAAAGTTATGATACTTTATATTCTGGTTGGACTGATAACTTTTCTTCTTTCCCTTGAACAGGAAGCATTAGCTGACCTGCAGATAGGCACAGGGCACTGACAGGTGACAGCATCTTATATTGTGTTGGGGTGAAGCTTTTCTAGGACTTTGTGATGACAAAGAGGCCTGGTATTACAGTCCAGAGGGATGCTCAAGGTATTTGACCCTCTGTTGAAGAATGTCAGGGTACTTTGAGAAACTGAGAAAGCAGATGGCCATCCATAAAAGTTCATGCTGTAACAATTTGGTTAATTTGCCACAAGGCCTTGTTGTTTTAGTTGCATGGATGCAACCCTGGTTTGTTCACACGTCACACAAACCTATATCTACACAAGCAAGTAAGCAGCCATGTTTAACTACCACAGACTCATAGGGCTTTTCTACAGCAAGCTGTTAATCTGCAGCATTTACTTTTGATTTTGTTGCAGAGTTGAGATGTGAGCCCTACAGGAAGTATGTCTTCTTTCTCTGCTTTTCTGCTACAGAACTTCTAGTGGCACTGTGATCTAGCAGAATAACACAAATATACAAATGGAAACAGTATTTTTTTTTCATCAGCAGAAATAATAATTCTTTTTCCCTGCTTTAAAGAGAAAAATTGTTTTCAAGCAGAAGTGGCACTAGTGGGTCACAATGACATCTAAAGAACCCATAAACACCTATGAGCAGGGAATGATGAGAAGTATGGGTGGTTTCCTGGCTTTTGAGCTATTTTTCCCCATTCTAAACAGTTGAGATGACTCTTCTAAGGCTTAACTAATGTCAGGAAGAGTCTTGAACTAAAATATGTTTTTTTTTATTTTTGGCTCACTCCTTTTGCCTTCTGTCCATCTACCACAAGCAGGAGGTCTCTGAAAATTTCTCCAGAGTGGAATGTAACCCTTGGGCTGAAAGAGACCCTGCATCTCTACTGGAATTCTCCCATTGTCTCTTTTCTGTCTAATACCTCATAGAGCTAGCAATACTTTGAGAACCTATGCTTGGAGATGAGTCACCACATCAGACTGGGCATAGCAGACCAAAGCTGATCAAGGAGCATCTTTTCTAGAGATGAGCTAGGCAGCTAAGCAGGTACAAATCTGAAAACCTATGGAAATAGTTAGAGCCACTTAATTACAAGAAAATTCAGAAATATGAGAACTGAAGAATACTAAAGGAAGAGACAGAGGGGGAAAGCCAAGATGTAGGTTGGCAAAGGGAAAAGCAACTACCCTGCCTCTCCCGAGGAACAAGTCCTCAATTTCCAGTATTTTTAAACGGAAACCATTGAGGGAGAATGAAGCATCAGTTCTTGTAAGGTGGAACTACAGCTTTCAGAATCCACACTTGCCAAGGTAATGCAAGTCTATTTATTTGATATATTAATTACCTTTATCCTGTTTTTCAGATAAAAATTATTACAAAATGTGGCTCACATCAAGCAAAATTCGGTGTTTGCATCTGCTGTATATAAATAAAAAGTTAAGGCCCTATCCATAGCATTATCAAACCAAAAAAAGTGCCAAAAGTAGTTGATAGAAGCATTTGTGAAGGAAAACCAGCAAAAGGTTTAAGCATTCACTTGTTTCACCCTGCCTAAGTTCTCTCACATCCACAAGGTGAATGAAGCTCCATATTTGCCTCTAAATATGTACTTATTTAATTTGCAATTTAATTGTAAAGGTTTATGTAATTTTACCTTTCAAGTCTTTTATGGACTGAGCCAAAGTTACTTGAAAAATGATCTTTTTCCAGATAACCTGTCCTACACTATGGAGTTCACTGATGAAGTTCTCCTCCCTTACAAGGGCAGTCACACTCTTGCACACAAGGAAGGGGGCCTTCACAGCAGTAGCCCCACACCTCTAGAATTCGCTCCCCGCTGGGGTTTTATCAGGATCTTTGCAGGTCTTCAGGGAAGCTCTCAAGAGCCTCCTGTTTTGATTATGGCATTTAAGGAAATTGGAGAAATTTTAGATATAGATTTAGAAATGTCAGAGAGCCAGTGTGACGTAGTGGTTAAGAACATGGGACTGGGACTCAGACAATCTGGGTTCTAGTCCCTGCTCAGCCATGGAGCCAACTGGGTGACTTTGGGCCAGTCACAGACTCTCAGCCCAACCTACCTCACAGGGTGGTTGTTGTGGAGATGAGATGGAGGAGGAGAGTGATGTAAGCTGCCTTGAGCCCTTTGTAGGAAAAAGGCAGGATATAAATTGATAGATAAATAAATAAAATGTCACCAAAAATGGTGTTATTACTGTTGATAGAAAAACAAGATATAAATGAAGCTAAGAAAGAATTGATTGTAAGATAATAGCAGTTAGGCTAGTGATAGCTAAATATTGGAAACAGAATTAGGTTTTGCAAAGGCATGAACAGTATAATGAAATATGGAACATGGTAATTAATGATAAACTGATGACAGAAATAAAAATTAAAAGAGGGTTAATGAAAGCAAATAAATATAATGGAATTTGGGAAGATTTTGTAAAAGCAGTACTGATAGAAGGCAAAGGCTGTAAACCCAGTCAAGATTATATGAACTTCTGGAGGGATATGGAAATAATTGAAGTATATTATATATTATCAATTGTTATTAATTATTATTGTTATAGTATGTGAATGGTGGTAGCATTGGTCTCCGGGGTGGTGGGGACACTTTATTATTTACTTTTGTTATTGTGTGTTATTATTGTTGTGATGTATTGTATTTATGGTTTTGTCAAAAAAAAATGGAGGTGGGAGAGGAGCCATCTGTTTTTGCTAGACCTCCTGCAGTGTCTTGGGGTGTTGGTGTTATTGATATCTGGTTTTTATTGATTTCTATTGGTCATCTTTTTAATGGACTAGGTCCTTAATAAGCATTGTGTTCAATTCTGGGCCCCTCATTACAAGAGGGATATAGCAAGGTTGCAATCAGTGCAGCAAAGGGCCACAAGGATGGTGGCTGGTTTGCAGGGGAAGCCATATGAGGAGCGACTGAGGGAATTGGGTCTCTTCAGCCTTGGGGAAACTCAGAGGGGACCTGTTACTGACATAGCAACATGTGAGGGGGGTGTCACACAGAGGTGAATCATGACCTTTTTCCCCCTACGGTGGAGGGCAGGACACGTTCCAATGGAGCAAAGCTCGGGGAACCAAGATTCAAGGTGGATGTCAGGAAGTACTTCCTGATGGTTAGGACTCCTAGGGTATGGAACGGACTTCCACGGGAAGTGGTTGAAGCCCCATCAGGGAGTGTTCAAGGATAGGCTGGACATGGTAGGCATGTCATGAATGGAGCTGGCTGCAGCTGGGGGTCAGACTAGATGGCCCTGGAGACCCCTTCTGATTCATTCTGTTTCTATGTTTGTATTTTCACTGAATCTACTTGGTGTGTTTATCTTGTATACCTCCTTGAGAGGGCTCCATGCTAAAACATAAGTTTAAATAAAATAGGTGTACATTGAAAAAGCCACACTTCTATCCCAGGGGCTGTAGGGCTGGAGATAGATTATCCCCTGGATCTACCAATATTGCTTTAAGCACTTTAAGGAGTCGAAGGATTTATGTACCAACTCCACAGCCCTGGTTGGCACATGCACAGGTACTCCAGCTGGCAAGCAACTTATCAGAGCATGAGGCTCGAGAAGAGGCACGATGGGTCAATGTAAGTAGATTGTGCTTTGCTGCAAATATGGGGTGCTTTGACTCAAAATCCAAATCTATTTTGAGCCAAGAATATTGAAAGCAGGCTACACTGGGAGGCTGCTGTCACCTTCTCTCCCTCGGCACAGACCTCTAACCTGAAACGGGTGCATTGCAAGGTTGTTGTGTGCTGCTCTCACAACCTAAGCTACAGTCCACTGGGGATAAAGGTGATGGAAAACAATGCGAAGTTGTAGTAAGCTGCTCTTAGCCTCAGCACAATCCCTACAATAAGGGGATTAATGGCACATCTCAACAATAGTCTTGAACAGGCATTAGAATAAGGACTATGGTGATTTTTCCAACAAAAGGTAAATTCGTGGAGTGCTATAAGACAGGAATGGAAAACATCTGGGAGTTATAGGTCAGAACATCTGGAAAATCACAAATTGCCTATCTCTGCTGTAGACATTAAAGTATTTCACACACATATGTGCAGATACAGAGCACCAAGTGTTGTCATAATTTATGCTTTATTTACCAAATGCTTTTTTAAAAATGTGCTTTGTGAACCCTTCAAGGAGCCTCAGCTATGGCTCCTCTTAAGTGACAGGATATCATGGCATACAAGAGGCATCTTTCCTAGAGACAGGGATGCTACATTCTATGCATAAGAGAACAAACATAAGGGAAGACACCTGAGCTGTCACCATGTGATCTTCAGGCTTTCATAGAATGGGAGATGACTCCTCCTTTGGAAAAGCTATTGAGCAGTTCCAACGCTGTAGAAGGAAACATCCTGATGCTTGAACAATTCTGCCTCTTCTCGAGTGGCAACAATCACAGCCCTCTCAGGAGGCATTAGAATGACCCACTCTTTGGTATTGAGCACGCACGTGAATTTGTCTTCCATTCCATAACTTCTCCCATAACGTATTTCTTTGTAGCAACCTGCCAAACGACGAAAGAATTTGGTTTGGATGTATTGTGTAGGTAAGCCCAAAAATGCAACGTTGCCTGCAATGTGAGCACCAAGGAGAGCTGCAGTGCTCAGCGCTGACTTTGCCACTATTGTGAAGTAAGCCACCCCAAATCAAGTAATCGGGAATTACCGCTTCTTTGAGAACTGCTCATCGATCTCTTCCAGAGATTGTCCTTTGGTTTCTGGTACTAAAAGATAAATAAAGAGAAGGGCCACCACTCCCACCAGTCCATAGAGAAGGAATGTCCATGATATGCCTATGGCATCTGCAAACAGTAACAGAACAGGATTAATATATGACAGAACATCACATTTGCTTGGATATGATGAAGTTTGAAATATAGTCCATTTATCAAATCTGAACAGTGCTGTGTGAGGCATTATCAATCATTACTTAACAGCATCCAGAGGACTTCCTACTGACGGCATCGTCATGCACCATTAGGAATAATGTGCCTGGATATGAACTTGGACACATGGCAAAGACACAGTCCATCCACAGGAAATGTCCCAGGAGTCATTCATTGTAACAGATTGACTTACATTTCTTGTAAGAAAATGGCAGCATTTTATTTTGCTTCATTGTCCCCTTTTCTCCCTTTGTTGTTCTGGCTTTGACTCCAAAATACATAATACAAAAAATTGCATTACATTACATAAAAAGGGAAGTATCACCGTAGTTGAAGTGTTATGTTGTTCTAAAAACACTCAGAATCAGCTGGATTACATATAGTTTGGCTTTACTTAGAGGATACGGATTATACAGTCTCAGAGAGGTAGTCAAGTGTGTGTGTGTGTGTGTGTGTGTGTGTGTGTGTGTGTGTGTGAGAGAGAGAGAGAGAGAGAGAGAGAGAGAGAGAGAGAGAGAGAGAGAGAGAGAGAGAGACTAGCTCATGTTCAACTTTGGGCTTGTGGGCCAAATCTGGCCCTCTAGGGGTCTCCAGAGAGCCATGCCCCCTTTCCCACAACCAGACTGTTTGGTGGTTTGCCAACATTTGTGCACACCCCCCCCCATTTCTAAAATGCTTAAATGCATCTTCTGAGGCTTAATTACCAGCAGTAAAAACTTTAAGCTAAAATATGCTAGCATTTTTGCTCTGAACACCACTAGAATGCAGTCCCTAATAGTTCTCTGACATTCTGTCTTACTTTTGGAGTGTAAGAGATTCAACATGCCTGCTGAATGTTGTCTCTCCATCTCCATGACCATTGCCCATGTAGGCTGGTGCTGACTGGTACTGAAATCCAAAACTTCTGGAGAGCACTCGGTTGGGAAAGACTGATTAGTTCTATGCTTAGCCTACAGTTTCCCCAAGAAACTCAAGACTTCCATCATTTTTATCCTACAACAACCTTGCAGTCTGATAACCATCTCAGGTTATCAGAAGATGACTGCCCCGAGGTGTATTTCAGCACCAGGAGGAGATTTGAACCTACGTCTCTCTGGTCTTAGTTTGTATTCTCCTCTGTATGCTTACCTGATAATGCCTCTTCTCGAGTGGCAACGATCACAGCCCTCTCAGGAGGCATTAGAGAAGCCAAGGTGCTGAGCAGGAGATTAGCCTAAGCATTTTCAAGGTGTTTCACAGGTGAAAACGAAAGAACACTCAGGCATTTGTGACATGCTTGTGCTTCCATGAAAGGTCACAGCCTGACCATATCCTGTTAGCCACTCTGCTACTAAGCAAACAGTCCAAAGAAGGCAGTGAGATTACTAATGGCTTCTAGTCAACACAGTCACATTAAGCTGGTTCTTTTCCATCTGCAGTGGATGCCAGTCCATGTCCCAACAGAATTCTAATTGCTGGTATTTATTTATTTATACATACATACATACATACCATTTCTATGCTGCCCCATTCGCAAAAAGCCTCGGGGCGGCTTACAACATTAATAAATAAACATAAATAAACAGTTATTAGACTTAAAAAACCGGAAACATCTCGGCACGTACATAAAAACCCCAATAAATACAGTTCATAAATTAACAATTAAAATAACTTTTAAATAAAAAGGTCTTGGCCTGGCACCGAAAAACAAATAACGACAGCGCCAGGCAGCCCTCTCTGGGGAGCGCATTCCATAGGTGGGGCGCCACCGCAGAAAAGGCCCTCCTCCGGGTACTCACCCTCCTAATATCTTTCACAGAGGGTTCCCAGAGAAGGGCCTCTGCTGCCGATCTCAAGGGGCGGGAGGGCATATATGGACGAAAGCATTCCTTTAGATAACCCGGTTCCAAGCTGTTGAGGGGTTTATAGGTGATAATCAACACCTTGAATTGAGCCTAGACTTCAATGGGGAGCCAGTGAAGCTGACGGAGAACTGGGGTTATATGAGAACAACACCCAGTCCCTGTCAGCAGCATGGCAGCTCTGTTTTGCACCAATTGAAGTATCCGGACCGTCTTCAAGGGTAGCCCCACGTAGGGCGCGCTACAGAAGTCTAATTGGGATGTTACCAGTGCATGTGTCACTGTCACCAGGCAGTCGTTCTCCAGGAAGGCTGATGGATCAGCCAAAGCTGAAGGAAAGCGCTCCTCGCCACCGCCGACACCTGAGCTTCTAATGACAGCTCAGGGTCGAGGAGCACTCCCAAGCTGCGAACCTTGTCCCTAAGAGGGAGTGCAACCCCATTCAGGACAAGGTCCAGGTCCCCCATCCCGAAGCCCGAACCACCCACCAAAAGGACCTCTGTCTTGTCTGGATTGAGCTTCAGTTTATTGGCCCTCATCCAGCCCATTACCTTGGCCAGGCACCGGTTCAGTACAGCCACTGCCTCACATGGATTGGTTGAAAACAAGAGGTAGAGCTGGGTATCATCAGTGTACTAATGATTCCGCAGCCCACATCTCCTAATGACCTCTCCCAGCGGTTTCATGTAGATGTTGAATAGCAAGGGGAACAAAATGGACCCCTGCGGAACTCCATGGCATAACTGCCATGGCACAGAGCCATAGTCCCCCAGCACCACCTTCTGGAATTGGCCATTGAGATAGGAGCGGAACCACCACAGAGCAGTGCCCCCAACTCCCAATCCCGCTAGCCTATCCAGAAGGATACCATGGTCGATGGTATCGAAAGCCGCTGAGAGGTCCAGGAGAACCAACAGGGACGCACTTCCCGTCTCTCTCCCTGCACAGGTCATCATACAGAGCGACCAAGGCAGATTCAGTACCATACCCGGGTCTGAAGCCGGATTGAAATGGGCCCAGATAATCAGTTTCATCCAAGAGTGCTTGGAGTTGTCCCTCTACCACCTGCTCTAACACCTTGACCAAGAACGGGATGTTGGCCACCGGTCTATAATTGGCGGCCACCTCTGGATCCAGGGATGCCTTCTCTAGGACTGGCCGGACTACCGCCGGCTTTAAAGGGGCAGGTACCCAGCCATCCCTCAGAGAGGCGTTGACAACCTCCAGGATCCAGGTCCCTATCCCGTCCTTGGCTTTCTTGAGTAGCCAAGATGGGCAAGGGTCCAGTAAGCAGGTGGTAGGACGTACTTGTCCAAGCACCTTGTCCACATCATCAGGCCGCAACAACTGAAATCCATCCATCAATTTTGGACCAAAATTATTAACATTCAAAAGTATGTTAACAAAACTATTAACATTCAAATCTCAAAATGGCTTGGGGCCAGTTATCTGGAGGAGCGTTTCTTCCCTTATATACCCACCTGGACCCAAAACTTGTCCTCAGCAAAAGACAATCTGGCATCTTTGCTTAAGGAAATCAAGTTTTTGATTATTAAGAAGGGGGCCTTTTTTGCTGTGGCACCTCAGTTTCGGAATGAATTTCCACGTTGTGCTCTTTCCAGCTCCCAGGAATTTTAGTCTTTCAGTCTCTGTTGTGTTACATCCTTTATTGTATTTTAAATCCTTGCACTGATGCTAGGTTCTGCTTTGGCTTTTACTTCTACTTTATACTGTGTTAAAACTTTTATGGTGCCTTTTATGCTTCATTTTATGCTTTTCTTTGCTGTGAGCCACCCCAAGAGTTTAGGCTATTGCCAGCATAGAAATGTAGCAAACAAAGAAGCAAACGAATTGCTGTGGAGAAAATCAACAGTGCCTATACTTACCAATAAGGTCAAGGAATGTGAGGCTGACCAGCAGATTGGCAGCCCAGTTGAAACTGTTGCAGAAGGCAAAGGCTCTTCCTCGTATGTTGACTGGGTAGATCTCACTGAGGACAAGCCAGGTCACTGCAGCAGGAGAAAGGAAGGCCTGTTAGCAAAACGAGAAAATATTGGTGGGGCTGTGGAGTTGCCACTTGTGTCTTCACTCATGTCACTTTTGTTTCTGGGGAAAGGTAGTATCAGAGCAGCTCTTTGAGGGGCTGCATCCCAGTGGCTGGCAAGTCCAAAGAGGGATAAAATACCTAAAGAGACCACCCTATTCTAGTTTCAGGCTCTTAGTGCCACAACTAAGCCTTAGGAGATACTTTTGAGCCTTCCATAATGGAGAAAAAAACCGCAGGAAAAACTGGCTAAATACCAAAAAATTGATGATTAGTGAAAGGGGGAGAGGCCATAGGAGGGGGCACAGAGTATGGGCTGGGACCCCAGGTCCAGTCGACACCTCTGTCTTAAAGACTAACAGAGTTATTGCGACATAAAGACTTTATGCCCCAAAGGAAATAAACAGGAACAAAGCATCAATACATCTATTGCAAATGCTGATAAACATCAGCATTAGCAGCAAGCTTCTTTGACAAGGAAGAAAGGAGGTGAGGGCTGGGGAAGGATGCAGGGCATAAAGAAATGGTGGTATACATTTGGAGCAATCATACAAAATAAAATTGGACCCTCTTTTAGGAACCTGCATTCATGGAAAACTGCCTAAAGTCTTACATGTAAACTTTTGAAATAGGAGCAAACACCCACCTACCAAACTCTATATGTTTGAAGAATTTCTTTATAAATGTCTGCATACCTACCTATATAAATAAAATTCTGACAGTGCTAGTTCCTGGAACAGCATGTCTAAAAGCAAATCTTTCAGAAACAAGTTGTAATCCGCTCAGTGAACATGAGTTGTTGAGCGGATTGAAAATGCACTACATGAACAGACAGGTGGGAAAAGCCCCAGTTACCACTAGGATTGTAGGAAACCAGATGGGCCCCTATCTCAGTTGCAAAGTGCTTGGTTCTGTTTAAAGATCTCTGCCAGTAAAATAGTAAAGGTCTTGATCCTGGCAAGCAAATGCTGGGATAGGTGGAGACCTGAAGGAACATCGGACTAACGGAGCTCAAAATAAAGCAACAGCCATCTCTACTGATCACCTACGAAGAGAGGTGCACATAGAGTAGCCTAGGGAGAACATGGGTCAAAGTGGGCAATCTTGTTATTACCCAAAAGTAAGACCCATAGAATTCAGTAGTGCTTACTCTCAGGAAGTGGGTATGGTACCACAGTCCAAGAGCAGGAGTCTCTCTCCCCCAAATATTAGAGTTTATGGCAGTATTCTCCAACGTGGTCTCCCCGGATGTGTTGGACCACAACGCCCACATTTTCCAGGTAACATGGCCTTGGCTGAAGAAGGCTGGTAAGTATAATTCATATACTTACATTTTTCCTGTCCTGATTTGATTGCAGCAAACAGAACTGCTGTAACTTAGAAGTACAATCACACACAGTCATATTGTGGGCTGCGTGGGCAGGAGGAGGATACTTACTTGGCCCAAATCCAATCGAGAATGCACTCACAAAAGCCATCAAGCTTAGCAATGTAATCCAATTTAGGAGCATATGTTCCATGGAAGGAGCCTCACCAATAGATGAATTGATGTTTAGCTGCTTTCGCTCTACTGACTGATTGAGAAAATAGGTTTGCTCAGTGTGTGAAGGAGTGTCTCTCTCTCCATTTTTATTACTAGCAAGAGTCTTGGCAATGGTTGCTGGCCTTGTGATGGCAAAAGTAATGTTTACGTGAATTTCACTAGCACCAGATGCCACTGGAAAGATGGATGCAGCTGGCTGCAGGGAGACAGAGTTTATGGGAAGATGAGCCGAGCTGAGCGAAGTGTTGCTTGACCCGCTGAATGTTTCGCAGTCTTTAGCCATCTCTAATGGAATGGAGCAGCTGGTCAGGCCAATAGCGGTAACGGAAAAGGCCATCGCCATACACCCAGCCATCAACAGCACCCTCCTGCCAGCCTTGTCTGCCAACACCATTGCAAGGAGAGTTGCAAGGACCTTCATCACTCCTAGACCAACAGAGGCCAGGATGGCGGAGGAATCACTCTGAAAGCCCACAGAGCGGAAGATCGTGGAAGCGTAGCAAAGGATGTTGGGCTGGCCTGTGAACTGCTGGAAGAGCACCAGTCCAAGGCCAACCAGAGTCCTGCTTCTCATGTTGTCCTTTGCCCTGAAAAGGTCCAAGAAAGAATAATGCTTCTCCTTAGGCCCCGGGGGCATTGCTTCTTCACCATCTCCATTCTTTGGGAGCCTAATGAGGCTTCTGCGAGTCTCGCTGTAGTGTAAAGTCGAGTGCTTTGGGAGAAACAGGATGCTGAGAAACTGAATGACTGTTGGGCCTACAGCCAGACCAAACATGTACCGCCAGCCCTCAGAGGTGCCTGCAAAGATGTAATTCAGAGCATATGAAAGCAAGATGCCCACAGTGATGCCAACTTCATAAAGGGAAACCAGCAGTCCTCGTTGATGGGCGGCCACCATTTCAGAGACATAGATACAGCATGCCATAGATGACAATGAGATTGCAAAACCTACAGTCATGCGCCCACATACCAGCCAAACCAGTGACCCGGCCAGTGTCAGGATGAGGCTGCCACACAGCAAAACTGCATTGCTGATCAAGATTGCATTCTGCCTTCCCTGTCGGTCAATGATGATCCCCCCGACCAAAGAGGCCAGGAGAGCTCCAATGAGCAAGGAACTCACAAGTACTTCCTGCTCAAAACAGCCAAGGCGAAAATCCACCTGCAGTTGTAACAAGGCCCCAGAGATGATTCCGAGCTCATAGCCAAATAACAGGCCACCGAGGAGTGAGACGGCTGAAGTCAGCAGCAGGACCCACAGTGCATGTCCTGTAAACCAAGAACAGCAGCAGTGAGACCTCATGCAGTTCGTCCATCTAGACACAACTTATAGGAAGTAGGAATTCATGTTTTTGTCAATACAGAATTAAGAGTTCTATGTGCAAACAAAAGCAAAAATCTGAAAAAGTAAAAGGATGGTAGTTCTAATCCAGGGGAAAGTAGCTGGAAACTTGGCTACATACAGTTTTAGTTAACCTAAAACTAAAGAGAATTAGCTTAACCAAAAGAGAATTTGCTTATCTCAAGCCAGAATTACTGTGTGCACACACCTGGTCCCTTCTGCAAACAAGATACTATCTTACTTAATGTCTCAACAGGGTACTGTTTAGTCACAGCCCATCTGAACTTGGAATTACAACGCAATCCTCTTCCTGTTTGCTCCTAAGCAGTAGAAATTGTATAGACTTCAACAGGACTTACTGCCAGCTAAGTGTACCTATGTTTGCAGTCTTAGCTGCAAATTAGTGTGTCCAAGTTCAACCCTTTCCTCTGCCATAGATTCGCCAGTTAGCTTCAGATCAGCTGTGCTCCCTCTGCTTCTGTCCCACGTATAAAGTACTGACTTCCTTACAGGGTTGCTGTAGGGTAGCCACCTCCGAAGGTGTCGCCCACACTGGCTTGGAATGATAGGAATTGCAGTCCAACACACTGGAAGGGCAGGTTAGGGAACACTATTACATGTTATATAAATGCCATGTGTAAGTATTCTAAAGTGCTATAGAAACACTTATTAGTACCAGCTAACTTTGAAAATAATGAAGAGAGAGATACTGTGCATTTCTCTTCTGCAAACACGCCCTCCATTTACAGGCAAGAACTACGATACTGCATGCCTCAAATACTGTGCTCCGTGCCTCTTGCCCAAGAGCAGCAATGTCAGACCTCTTCCAGCCTGGAGCTGAATTCAGTTTTGCCTTCCAGTAGTTGGCAGGGCTGAAAGCAAAAGGGATGGGAACAAAACTTAAATTAAAAGCTCTTATTGCTGGTAATTCAGCTTCAGGAGAGGGATTTCAAACTTTTGGGGGCTTTTGGGGAGAAAGGTTGTGCTAAAGCCGCAAGAAACCACCAAATGATCAGCAGGTGAGAAGGCTGGAGCCTCTGAGGAAACCCAGAGTGGCAGATTGGGACTGTGAGCCTGAGGTGCAACCCGTGTCCATAACACCTCATGAACACTTTAAATTTCTCAGAGTGGCAGCTGCTTCTGTACTGCAATCTGTTGATGTGTGTGCTGCAGCTCACCGCAATGGCAGGACGATGTTTTAAAAAAAGGCTCGTTGGCTCTGAGGAGGGAGCCACACTGCAGCCAGATGAAGACAGCTGCCACGCTGAATCCTCTTCAGACTCGGTGCTGCAAGTGCTGCTTGGCCTCGTCTCACCCAGATGTCTCCTTGCGCCAGGAGAAGTTCCCCTGATCCCTAATGCATTCCCTCCTGCTTCGGCCTCACAGAAACTAGGAACGGTGCTGACATTTTCGGCGTGAATGCAAGCCTTCTGGGAGACAGTGACACAGAGCAGAGCAGGCGGCCAATTCGCCATAGGGCTTCTCAGCTAACTGCTGCTGGCTGGTTTTAAACTGTCAACAGCTCACTGGCCAGGAGAGTTCTACCTATGTCTTTGTTGGTTTGTATTACTGTTTCAGCATTCGGTACACAGAGTGACAACATCTGTGCCACTTCTTCCTACCCGTCAGGAACCTTGCAGGTAACAAATGACTGATGTATTGTTCTAATACCCTTGATAGCTGAAAACAGACTTCTTCACCATGTTGACTACCCGGATCATCTCTCACTGTGTGTAACACTTCCCAAACATAGGAGAGCCAGATGCATACCAGTTGCTGGGGGACTTGGGCCAGATGGTGGTGTTGCACTCGTATTCTGCTTGTGCGATCTGGTGGGCAGCTGATTGGCCATTGTCTAGACAGAACACAGGACTAGATGGATCCTTGCTCAGATCCAGCATGACCCTTCTTATGTTCTGGTGAAGCCTATTTCAGAGCCAAATCAGCGTGGGATAATTCCAACGTACTGCAGCTGAGGTGGCAGAGATCCACTTGCCATGAAATTGCCTGGTGGTAGTGGGGTTTACCCGCTTGTCAAAATACATAATCGAAGACTGGCTGGCTTAAGGGGTTCTGCCGCACCAGGCAGGCAGGACATCCATGTGCCCAGGAGCTAGAATCCAGGTCAGAGCCCTCTGTGGTAACACAAAGGATTCTGGGTCAGCTGTCAAGCTAATATACCAGAAGCAGGCTTAGGCGCTCACTGTGGCTTTTTCTTCCACTCCTTCACCCTCAGCCCTGTGTCTTTCCAAAGCAGAATGACCTGCTCTGATTGCTAAACCCTATTGTGTTTCCTGATTTTTTAAAAAATCATTATTTTATTACTTATTATTCTCAAAAATGTGCAGTCTGGATCAGTTTTTTTAAAGGCCCCAGAAAACTGCACAATTCTCTGTTACTTGGCCATCTTTCCTACTTACAGATTTGCAATATATGTTATCTTACCTGGTCAATGTCCTTGTCTGTTTCAGCTATTCACTGTTTCAGTTGTCTCTACTCCAAAGGGGTTGAGAAGTGCAGTAAATAACATTTTTGTTTAATAACATAAGTAACAAGGAAAGAATGCTTATGGGTAGATTTATTTTCACACGGTTTTCAAGCTATCAGTTGGAAATCACGAGTAAAAGGGTGTGGGGGGAGTCGGTGCACCAAAAAGGGGTGGCAACAAGACCTCCCCTTACCTATGCAATCACCGCCTCAGTGCCCTCCACACTTCTGACACTTCCCTTGGTCCTTTGACAACTGAACTTACAAGCACATCGACCAGGCAAGTAGCATTTATTTCTGACAGGTGCAATTTGTAATTGTACAACACAGCAACTCAGCATGACTAGTTACTCATAATGGGTTCCTGTGTCATGTGAACCCAGTTGTCATTTTTGGAAGCATCCAGTGTTGAAAACCAGAATGTACTCTTACTACTTCTTTGATGCATTATCTTTGTTTTTGAGGTATGCTTTTCACATGGAGATAAATTCATTCTAACTTGACTTTTTTCTCTTAAATTGGTACTCCGGAAAGGTACCACAATGTCAATACAAGTTTTTGTTGAATCCACAATTCAGAGAAATCAGTGGTTGGTAGATCAAGGGTCCCATATTCCAATTGTTTAGTGATAAAAGATGTCATTTTATTTTGCAGAACCATTACGGATGGATCCAGATTAAATGAGTAGCATTTTAGTTCTACTGAAATTAAAGGGGACTAATTCATAACATGCTTTTCACAACAATGCCAACAGAACCTAAATAAAGTAGTCCAGATCTAACCCTTATGGTCCGATCCTATCACATGAGATATTTACTCAGCAGCATATCCCATGAAGATCAGCAGGACTTACTCTCAAATAAGTATCTATCAGAGTGTAATTTTGCTCTTTCAGTTCAATATGCTGGCCTAATTGTTCACCATGATAAATAGTCTGGAAAAACAATTTTGAATAATGGAAATGTTTCTCTTGTTAGGACTTTATATAATTATTTTTACAATCTTTAATGCATTTGGCACAGTCTATTATCTCATGATATCTTTGGTTAATAAATTTGCATTTATTATGTTGTCAAACCTCCATTTGTTTTTCCCCCTTGTGGTATATGCTGAAAAATCCTGACATCTGTGTAGCTCCTCTATTTCTAAATGCTTTGTATGGATAGGTAGCCAATTAGAAACCATTTTTGTTCAGGACAAGCAAAAGAGCTCAGCAAAAAACCGGAAAGGTCCGTTAGTTTCTACCTGGAAACTCTATTAGTACATATGGTGTTGCTGTGAATGTTGAGCCTGATTCAATTAGATTTGCATGCAATTTCCATTCCCTTTATGCCTAATAACAGATTGTGGGCTTTGATTAAAATGCACCTTGTTACTCAGACACTGCATTAAGCAAAAAGTGCAAGAAGCAAAGGCCGGGGGATAGCAAAGCAACAGTAGCTAGTAGAACGAAGCCTATGGCAGCACTGAGGGCAACAGCTCACTTTATGCCACCACACAGTTGGCATCATCATCCAATGCCCACGACGATGCCAGTGTGGCCTAGTGGTTAGAGTGCTATACTGGAACAGGGGAGATCCTGGTTCTAGTCCCCACTCAGCCAAGAAGCCCACTGATGACTTGAGTCCAGTCATAAACCCTCAACCTAAACTCTCTACTTCACAGGTTTGTTGCAATAGGGAGGAGGAAGGAGGGATTATGTAAGGCATCTTGGATTCCTTGCAGAAAAAAAGGTGGGATAGATACACACACCACACAGGTTAGGTTTTGTACCTCTTACAGTGCAATCTTATGCATCCCTGCACAAAAGCAGTGACTTACTCTCAGGTAAACATGCATAAGGTTCAGCAGCATACAAAACTCCCAGGATGGCTAACCTGATATCTGTTCTGACAACAGAATGCCAAGTAGCAGTCAAAACAAGATAATACATACATGAAATAATGATAATCTAAAGGTTTGTAGTGACCTAAATGGATAAATGTTGTCTATGGGGTTGCAATGGGTCGGACATGCTTTGTGACCAGCAACAACAACAAATAGATAAAAAAAAACTTTCAACAGATCAAACTGCAAGTAGGAACATAAGTTTTTGAATGTTACCTCACCTCTCACTTTTTGTGTTCTACATGAAGAATTTTTGAGTGTGGAGGTCCGAACATCCAGCCATGCAAAACTACCAGTCTTGAAATGGCTTAGGTTAGGAGCCCGGAGAGAACTAGCCAAACCCTCTTAGATTACTGCAAAGCACTGTATGTGGGGCTGCCCTAGAAGACCGCTCAGAAGCTGCAGCTCATGCAGAACGTGGCAGCCAGATTAATACCTGGGATCCATAGGTCTGAACATATTAGAGCAGTGCTGGTCTGCTTACACTGGCTGCCTGCGTGCTTCCATCCCCAAGACAAGGTGCTGGGTTTAACCTGTAAAGCCTTGACAATGCACTTCTTCCAACCACAAGCCACCCAGACAATGCACCCAACATCCAAGACTTTCCAGTGAGTGCCAACTATGAGGGAGGTGTGAGGGGTAGAAACAAGAGGGAGAGTTTCCCTTGTGGTAGGTCACCTACACAAAGATCTACTTGAGTCCCACCTGCCACCAGCTTTTTCCGTGTGACCCTTTTTTATCAAGGTTTAAAAGATATACTTGGCTAGCCAAGGGCTTCAGAGAATTATCTATTCTGTTTTTTAACAGAGCTATTCGTTATTGTATGTTTTTAGCTGTATGTTCTTTTTTTGTTTTAAAATATTTGTAAATTGATATGATTTATGGCACTATCTTGTATTATTTTTATAAACTGTTGTAAACTATCCAGAGAACTTCAGCAATTGGGCAGTATAAAAATGAAATAATACTAATAATAATCAGCTCCTGAGAACTTTAGTACTACATAACTGACAACTCTAATTTTCAAGATGTTTCACTGTTCCTGATTCTCTTCTACCATGACTTTTTCCCCGCCCCATAATTTTTGGCTGGGGCTTTGCACACACTACCCAGCCATTAAGTGATCAAAAGAAACTTTGCCAAAAAGGAAGGTGGGATGAGGGAGGTTAAATAAATGGTTGAAGTGAGTGTTATGGAAAATCAACATATCCCAAAATTTGGGAGTAAGGAGTCAGCAAAACTGCCATGTGAATATTTGGGAGAGGGCTGAGAATCAGTGTGGTATAGTGGTTAAGACTGTGTGACTGGGACTCAGGTGATCTGGGTTCTGGTCCCTTCTGGGCTGTAAAGCCAACTGGGTGACTCTGAGCCAGTCACAGTCCAGCCAAACCTACTTCACAGGGTTGTTGTTGTGGGGATATGATTCAGAGCAGGAGAAGAATGATGTACATCACTTTGAGTTCTTTAAAAAAGAGGAAAGGTGGAATATAAATCTAATAAATAAGTAAAAAGGAAGTTTCTAGCTCTATGATTTTAAATACTGTTGCAATGCTGGCATTTTTCAAAGTGGGAGAGGAAATGGAGAAACAAAAGGGCAGTCTGTGAAATATTTTAGTTGTCTAACCTTGCTGGTACACGACAAACTTGTCTGAAACTAGAGATGATAACTCCATGAGCAGCCAGTAAAGTGGCTGTAGAACTGGATAGGTGGAAGGCAAAGGGCATTGAAAGGTAAGGCCTTGCATCTTGAGCTTATGGATCTACAATATTTGCTTTTTAATAGAACCCTCTGCTCACCGTTCTTTTCCATGAAAAGTCACTCCACACGCTTTCTTCATTTCAGCAAGTTACTTTAGCAAAAAATAAATACAGGTATTTATTGTACCTGTTGTTAATTAGTTGTCAAAAACCCTTTGCTGGTCCTACTGCAAAACATCTGTGCTTGTGAATCCTGATTCATCTTTTACAAGCTCAAATCAAGAGATTACAATGGGTGTGTAAATTAAAGATGCTGGAATTACTTTAGCAGGAGAGTTTCTCATACAAGCAACTGATCAGTCAGTGTGTGAACAGAATGCTAGTCTAGATAGGCTTCTGGTCTAAAGCAGGATGGCTCTTATTTCCTTATGGTGGTTCTCTTGATTATTATGCTTATCCTGAGGGTTGAGGTAAGTAACAAGAAGAACCCTCTCCTCCAAACAAACACTAGAGAATATACATGGCATATAATTAAATTCACCGGGTTGCATCCATTGCTGGCCATCCACAAAGAGAATGGAAACTGTAGGTGGAATGCATTCCCCCTTTCCCTCAACCTCACAAAGGTATTCTAAAGGGTTAGAGGACCCTGTGGAACAAATCTGGAAGATGCATGAAAGGGTATCAAAGGCAAAGAAATTTCCCCACCATTTTTCAACTTAACTTTGACGTTGAAAGATTCACCTAAACTGAATCTTGAAATACTTCCGAAGGGTTGCAAGCCTATGCACACATACTAAGGGTAAGTCCCACTGGATGCTGTGAAACATATATTTGAGCAAACTTGTATAGGTCTGTGTTAAGGTTGAACCAAACACTGAATATTTCTTCCCCCAATTTGAAAATGGGTAGGAATTCAACTGAGGTAATTTCTTGCAGTGCAGAATATTGTTCCAAATATGTATAGCCACTTTTTTCCCAACATTTAAAGATTTAAGTAAGATATCACATCCTCTCCCATGAAAACCCATAGAGATCAATTCTTTGATCATGAACAATACAAAACTGAGTGGTCTAGTCAACACTGTGTAAGACAGAATGAAGCTCCAGGGTGATCTTGATAAACTTCAATGCTGGGCTGAAAGCAACAGAATTAGATTCAGCGGGGACAAGGGACAAGTGTGCCACCTAGGAAAAGAACTAAATGCATCGACACAAGATGAAGAATACATGGCTCAACAGAACTTAAAAAGAGAAAGAACAAAAAGAGTTATTGTGGACAACAGACTAAATATGAGCCAGCAATGCAATGCAGCTGCAAAAAGGGCAAATGCTATGTTAATGCATCCTAACATAGTATTTGCCCTTTTTGCAGAACTGTTACTTCCAAATCACTGGAAGTAGTAGTTATACTTATTCACTAGTCAGACCTCATCTATAATACTGTGTCCGTTTCTGGGCACCAAGATTTAAGGAAGATGCAGAAAAATTGGAAAGCAACCGGAGGAGGGCAACAAAAATGATCCAGGGTTTGGAAACACTGCCCTGCGAGGAGAGACTGAGGGAACTGAGCATGTTCAGCCTTGAGAAGAGAACACTGAGGGGGGACTTGATATCACTGTGTAAGAACCTGAACGGCTGTAGCAAAGAGGAAGGTCACAATCTTTTCTTACTGATACCAGAGTGTAATGTACAGAATAAACAACTCAAGTTGCAACAACCCAGATCCAGGCTTAGTATCCGGAAATGTTTCCTCACTGTCAGAGCGATACAGCAGTGGAACCAGTTGCCAGTCATGGCTCTCCCACACTAGAGACATTCAAAGAGAAACTGGACAATCACCAGAGTGGGTTGGTGTCAATTGGTGACCTGCGACAGCAGGAGGTTGGGCCTGATGGCCTTCTTGCCCCCTTCAACTCAACCATTCTATGGTTCTGTGAAATGAAGAATAATGTCATGAATCTGTGCACCAGATTTCATTCTGAAAGCCTCATGTTCAAAGAAGTTATCACTTTATAAACCAATAAGCAAGCCAGATATTCAGCAAGTGTGTTGCACCAGGGGCCTCACTTTACTAGGCCAGGAATTGCTCATGCTTACTCAGAAGTGCAGCTACCTTCAGCTGAACTTGTTTTGATGAATATATTTATAATATTTATTAGCCACCCAACAAAAAAAAGTTCTCCAGGTGACATTCAGAACATATTTAGGACTACTGCCTTACCAGTCTTACACGTGCATCTCCTATATGCTCTCTCTCTATAGATATGCTCAGATGTATGCCCCCTTGTACTTAACGGGCTTACACCAAACTAAATATGCACAGGATTGCAGCTGTACAAACACTTACTTGGACCTACACATTGTGCTCAAACTACAACTTTAATAGCAAAACTATGACTGTTTTTGGCATTAGCGCTGGAATTTCTGGCCTTTGCCTGAGCTCTCCCCTTTCAGTCGGGACCTAGAATTTAAAGGAGAAGGACAATTTTTCCTGAACCGACTTTGGGGGGCATCTTTCTTCCCTGCATTCTTGCAAAGCTGACAGACACAAACGCTCAGAGGGCAGTCTGTTGGGTAGTCTTAATGCACGCTATTCCCGGGATGGGACTGAGATGTCTGAACAAGAGAACGCCTCGGAAAGCCATGGGAGAAAAAAACACGCAAGAGGAAAAAGTTAAGTGTGCCTTCCTCTCCTCCTTCTGTAAAGCAAGCCAGCAAATCGAAGCCAGCACTAAAGGCAAACACTCCCGACCGGCCGCTGCCTCCCCCCGCCCCGTGTTCCCCACATCCCAGGCTAGGGAGGACTTACCCATGGCGCGGGACGAGGCACAGAGAGTTCAAACGCAAGTTTGCTCCCCAGTCCAGCTCGGCGGGCGAGAACGAAATCCCGGCGGGCCTCTGGGAGCGAAGCCTCAAGCAAGCGGTTCAGCGCTCTCCAGCCGGCGGTTGTTGCAGCGTGGAAAGGAGGCACGTCCTGCATTCCAGCGCCAGCAGCTCCGCTAGGATGCGCGCCCGGCCGGGAGTTTTTGGGCTCTTCCAAATACCGGATCGGGAATTCGCATTCCGGATGCTGCCCCTCCGTGTAGCCGCGACAAAGCAGGCACCGTGGCAAGCTGGGAAAGAGGGACCGGGCTAGGGTTCGCCGCGGACGCTGAAGTTTTCCTCCGGATCTCCGGGACGCTGAAGCTCCCCACGGGGCCCGGCCGCCTGCGCTCGCAGAAGGGGCTGAACAGCGCCACGTTGCTCCAGGCCTGCCCACTGCCGCGGGGTGGGGGGAGCCTTGGCGCCCACGGGGGCTTCCCCGGCAAGCTGTTGGGTTGGCGAGGAGATGCGCAAGTGCCCCCGCTTCCTCCAGGCGTAAAAGCTTGGAGGGAGCCCTGCGCGCCTCGGAAAAGGGACTGCGAGGCTGATCCTCCATGCTGGCTTCTGCAAGCTTACTGCAGTTCGCTGAGGGTTCTCCCACCCCCTATTGCTAGGTGCATACCTCAGAGTTTCACAGGTATTCAGAGGCACTAGTATGAGAGTGACAGACGGAATGGTTGCAAACACAACTATGTGATTTCAGGAAGAGTCACTGGAAAGGAGGAAGCTGCGTTATGCTGGTCAGACCATTGGTCAATCCAGCTCTAGCAGTCTGGATTTTGAGAGGCTTTAAACAAGCCACCAGGGCCGTCTGAATGCCTGGGCCTGATGGGCACTTGCCCGTGGGCCCCGTACTAATCAGTGTATGTTAACCCTTGGAAAATTGGAAAGCTTCCAAAATTAACAGTAGTTGTAGTTGTCGTAGGGGCCCGGTACATTGCTTTGCCCAGGGCCCATAATGCTGTTAAGACAGCCCTGCAAGCCACCCTCAGTGGCTCCCTCCTGCAGTGAATATCTTCTGACTATTATCCCCGACGGGTATTGTCCCTTTTCCTCCTCATTGGCAGAATTTGCTTGAGTTTTTCTTCTGAGGACGGGAGTCCAAAGAACTGAAGCATATGCTGATGTGAAAAAAAATGAAGTTCTCAACCTTGAAAGGTAGTAAAACTCCAGGACCAGATGGCAGGCATCCTAAGTTCTTAAAGAACACAAACGTTAAATTGCTGGTTTTCTAGCAAACATGTCATGTCACCAAGATTAGCTTCTGTACCGGAGGATTGGAGAAAGGCCAATGAAACAGCAGTTTTTAAAAAAAGGATCCAGTGTGGACCTGGGAGATGATAAGCCAGCTAGTTTAATGTCTGTGGAGGATTAAATGGTTCAAAGCATTATTAAAAAAAAAAAATAAGCAGGACAAGCCCTCCTCAAATGTAAACAATGTTGCTTCTGCAAGTGAAAGTAAAGTCTCACCAATTTGTGAAAGTTTTTTTGAGAGTGGCAATAAAAATATGGTGTTCTGGGAGGCATTATTTACTTGGACTTCAAAAAGGCTTTTGACGACATCTGTCACTACAGACTCCTGAGCAAACTTACTAGTCCTGGAATAAGTGGTGATATCCTCTTATGAATCATACCTGGGCTAAAGAACAGAAAGCAGAGAGTAGGAATAAATGGTAACTTTTCCCCATGGAGGAAGTTAAGTGATGTGGTTGGATAGTTAAAAACTCATTGTAGAAAGTGCTGAAAATTTCACTTAGGCAAATGTAAAGTGTTGCAAATTGGGACCAAAACTCCCAGTTTTACTCATATTCTAATAAGACCTGGGCTAACAGTAATTAAGAAAGAAAAATGCTTGATGAAAATGTTGACCCGGTGTGTAGCTGTAGTAAAAAGGGAAAATCCCATATTAGGTCTTATTAGGAAAGGATTGCAAATAAAACTGCCTAATTTTATATCAATCTATGATGTGACCACACTTGGAATAATGTGTGTAATACTGGTCATCACCTCTAAAAGGATAGCTTTAGAAAATATACAGAAATGTGCAGCTTAAAGGGGCTCAAACAACTCTTCTTTGAAGAAAGTTCATAAAAGTTTTGCTTAGCAAATAAGGAAGGAGAGATACAAAAGAGGTGTTTAACATTATGCATGGTGTGGAGAAATTTTCAGGGTCCCTCTTACAAAACTAGAATCCAGGTCATCCTATGAAACTGAATGGTGGAAGATTTAAGTTATGTTAAAGGAAGTATTTGTTCACACAGTTATTCACTTCCACAAGCTGTATTGATGGCCATCAATTGGAATGGCTTTAAAAGGGATTGGATAAATTCCTGGAGGATAAGACTGTCAATGGCTACTAGTCCTGATGGCTACAAGCTACCTCTGGTATCAGATCCAGTATATGTGTCCAGTTGCTGAAGAATGTGGTTGGGAGGAGCTAGATGACTACTGTATAGGGACTAGAATATGGACTAGATGGACCCATGTTCTGATCCAGCATGTCTCTTAAGTTTTTACTAATGGCTGTCTAAACTATGCTGTTTACTAGCTCAAAATTGGCATTACTGTAATTTTGTACTAGAGTTAATCCTACAAAGAGGCTAAATAAAGCAGGCCTGTGTTTGATAGCCAAGTTGGAGTACATGGTGAAGATAAACTAGCATGGGATGATAAACTCTGTATGCAAACACATAAGGTTAACTCTTTGGTACTGATAAGTGGGGAAAGTTAACTGCCCTGTTAACTTGCATTTATTTTTCCATGGAGAACAAGGAGACTTCTTGTGGAGAGTACACAGGTAGACTTCAATTCAGGCTTTCCTATGCTTTGTGCTCCCCATTTCTCCATCAGAATTACGAAGTACTGCCTCAAAAAAACAAACATGGATGGGGGAATCTGGTAAAAATTGGGCTGGATACAGTTGTCATATTTGGAATAGTTCCATTGCAATCAGTGGGACTGAATTGTGCCAAACGTGACAGCAATTTACTACAATGGGTCTTTAATGAGCATCAATCCAATCTAGTGAGGTCAGTGGGAAATGAAGCGAAGGAAGAACAATGCTTTCACCAAAACCGTTAGTCACAGACATCCTGGCAGTAAGTAGCCAATGAACATGTGAATCTAAACAAACTTGCAATCTCTCTTGAAAATACATTCTCCTGGATTAACTGAATATAGGACTTGAAAGTATGACTCAGTCAGTCAATCCTAGGCACAACTGCTAAGTGCTAAGTCCCGTTGAACTCAGTGGTACTTACATCTAAGAAAGCATGCAAAGGAGCAGCTGATAGCAGTTTATACTAGCTGCAGCACAGGAAGAGCAAATTATTTTGGTTGCAGTTGCCTTCTCAGTGTTAAGAATTTTTTTAATATAAGGAAATGCCATATTTGTGCAAAATAACTAATCATTCATATTAGGGTGATCAACTTTTTAAAAGTCAACTCCTCTTTATTAATTATAAAGATTTATATCCCACCTTTTTCTTAAAAGGATTCAAGAGAGCTAGCAAAGAATGACTAAAAGCAGAACAGAAGGAACATGAAGGTCTGGCTTCTGTTTCTTTAACAGAGTGCTTTACAGATATTTGCAAATGATTATTTGTAACAGTCATGACAGGTGTTTTGTTCTGTACATCACATCAGACTGATGCTAAAAACCACAGAAACAGACTAGGCTGTGCTCATTTTTTCTAGTTAACAACCCTATTCCAGAAGCACTATAGATTCAGAATTATAAACAAGATTAGCAAAATAGTTCTACCACTTCCTGGATGTTTCCCTGAGGCTGCTTTTCAAATGTGTTTATCATTGAAGTGTTAATCTAATGACAATGACATTCAATTATGCTTTCAAAAGATTAGCTCTCCTGTTTCCAAAGAAAAGAAACCTAAGTTGTTGGGCTATTCCTTTTCTTTCTTACATAAAGGCACTTCTTCAAAGTCAACATTTTGTCACCCAGTGTTATTCTGAAATATGTCTTGTCATACCATACAGCTTAATTCCTGGCTTTTGAACATCTGAAATTGCTGGCGGCAATAGAAATTCTATTTCCTTTCAGGGTGCTTGAAAATATAATTGAAGACGATCTGTTCTGATCTGTGTATATCACAGGGTTCTTTTGTTTTCTCTCACAATCGTATCACCCAGACTATATTTAAATGTGTTATAAGGGCTCCAGATGTTTTGCAAAATGAAGGTTGGCTTCCCATTCACCTTCTCTAATTTTAACTTCAAATGAAATAATTAACAGCATCCCTGAGCATAAAATGATCAGATGACATGAATAGGAAGTTGTCAGCATGGAGGGAAGTGGGGTTCCTTGCCACCTGCACTCTCCCAGGGATTCAAGTACGGCAAGTGAAAATTTTGGTAATTGCTTCAGTGACAGTGATTGACTGCAAGGTGGCCTACAGTTCTCATCAACCCTAGCTAGCATAGTCAATGATGAGGAATGAGCAGCACTATAGTTTTCCTGACACTTTAGCCTACACATTGCCTGATTTATGGGGCTGACCGCAACTTCTGTGCACTTTCAAGCAGCTTTAATTGCTGAAGGGTAGAAAATGATACTTTGAACCTGTGGAATGACAGCATAAAGTCCAAACATAATTTGGAGGAATTCATACAAGAAATCCAGGAATGCAGAATATGTATCTTGTGCTTCAGCACCAGAGTGTGTAGATGCCATATAGATGTAGAGTCATATGCCACTTCTAAACCCAGAGTAGATTATGAAATCTATTTTGGATTCCATGCTCTTCTTTAGACTTTATTTGTTCTAAAATATAACTTCAGTAAAGAGGCTAGTAGTACAATCCCATGCATGTCTACTTTGAAGTAAGCCCTGTGGAGCTCTGTGGGACTATCTTACAAGTAGATGCAGTTTAGGATTGCAATCTTGCCCTGAGGCCTGCTAGTTAATTATATAATAAACATTCTTTGAAGCCTTGTAAGTGTAGACAATGTGTTTTGGCACTTATCCAGGAGAAAGACATGGGGAAACTGGCAGAGCACCCATAGGTTTCAGGATGAGCCACTTTTACACAGTGCTTTTTTTGTAAGAAAAAAGGTGCCGGAACTCATGAAATTATTTACCTTTCGCACGTAGTCAGTCACTGTATACACACCCACACACGTCAGTTGTGTAACGAAACATGTGGTTGCTGCCTTCAGTAAGCACTCAGCACGGCCACACGACCAATCACAAGCCGAGCAGCACCACAAGCCGAGCAGCACCATCACAACCAGTGCGGACAAAGTACGCATGCATCGGATTCGACACACAAGCAGCCCACATGCACCGTTTTAATGATTTTGCCGCTGACCTGCTAAGCTCGACAGGGCGATTCAAATCCACGTGGACCAAACATCAAATTTTCAAAAGTTACTTTTAAAACTTGGAAAATCTGTTGAAAAAAGGTGCCGGAACTCCGTTCCAGTGCGTTCTATGACAAAAAAAGCACTGCTTTTACAAAATGTAACACTGCAGATTAGTTAGTTTGACTTTCATGATCTAAATCCTCAGGGATTGGAGAGAGCAGACAGCGAAGAGCGGCTTACAACCTTTGCAGTCAGGGTAAACTGGGAGGAGACCTGACAGGAAAGAGATCTCGTGACTTCATCCTGTGGCACATCATGTTTCATGATGTTTGATTTCAAATCCTTTTAAAAAGGATTTAAAAGCCACCCTATTCTTATAAAGCTGTGTACCATCTTCTCTTATGTTTGTTTCTTTTGTGGCTTGCTTGGCTCTTGTTATGCTGTCAAATATTACGGTTAACAGATGCAAAAAGAAAGACAGTACTGCTCCAGCTTTAATAACTGTTTTGAAGGGGGCATTTTTGGCTGGTGCAGCATTTTTCATCGCTGCATGATGAAATCCCGTCCTCTGCACAGTTGGGGGAATGTGCAGGAGCTCTGCCCTTCTTTGTACTTGGCCGCTCTGTCAGCTCATGGACTGCAAATAATCAAAGTCCACTTTTCAAACCCAACAGAATCGTTAGAATTTTCAACTGGCCACTGTGGCTCTGCCTTTACCAAAAGCAAAAGGTTGTTATTGACAGTCATTGTCACTGAGATGGGAAACGAGGCAATTCTATTAGACCTGCTGAAAGACTTTCCTCTTCTTCCTTTCCCATTCCTTTTTTTTTTTGGGGGGGGTATATCATATCTAAAGCAAAAGAAAAAAAAGGGAAAAAAAGCAGAGACATCACCCTGCCAACAAAAGTGTTTATAGTCAAGGCTATGGTTTTCCCAGTTGCAATGTATGGCTGTGAAAGCTGGACCATAAGGAAGGCTGAGCGCCGAAGGAGTGAGGCCTTTGAATTGTGCTGCTGGAGGAGACTCCTGTGAGTCCCTTGGACCGCAAGGCGATCAAACCGGTCAGTCCTAGAGGAGATCAACCCTGACTGCTCTTTAGAAGGCCAGATCCTGAAGATGAAACTCAAATACTTTGGCCACCTAATGAGAAGGAAGGACTCCCTGGAGAACAATTGACGGCAAAAGAAGAAGGGGATGACAGAGAATGAGGTGGCTAGATGGAGTCACTGAAGCAGTCGGCGTGAGCTTAAGTGGACTCCAGGGGATGGTGGAGGACAGGAAGGCCTGGAGGAATGTTGTCCATGGGGTTGCGATGGGTTGGACATGACTTTGCAACTAACAACAACAAAACCTTTTTAGAATGTAACCCTGCATGAAGGAACTGCCCTATATTTATTATATGTGATTTTATGTCTGCAAATGACATAAGCTTTCTTCAAGTCCTTTCACAGAGACTTCCTATTCCTCCAGTTTAGAGTTGTTCTTTATCCAGAATATGGCATCAATTCTGAAGCTGATCAGAAGAGGGCTCCACAAGTTCTTTTGTTAGTATAGTGTAAAAATGCTAACAGGCCAGCTTGCTTGTTAAGAGTTTTAACAGTGTTAACCCAGATCCCCAGTTCCGATTTGAGAAGCTGCCCCTTTTCATTGAGTCTTTCCACTTTCCTTTTGCACTGCACCTTGGCTTTTAAATAAACCCCCAAATTGAAAGGGATATGCTGGCTACAGCTGTACATTGAGGACAGCAAAGATTTTTACAGTGCAATCCTATACTTGTTTATTCAGAAGTTAGTCTCACTATTAAAGTGAGACTTACTCAAGTAATTGGGCAAAAGGTTGCAGTTTTGATGGTACTACACAAGTGTATTGGTACTAAAAACATGTAAGACCAAATGTCAGTATGTCTGGCACTGGACAGCCAGTGTGGTGCAGTGGTTAAGAGAATGGGACTGGGACTCAGACAATCTGGGTTCTAGTCCCTGCTCAGCCGTGGAGTCAACTGGGTGACTTTGGGCCAGCCACAGCCTCTCAGCCCAACCTACCTCACAGGGTTGTTGTGGGGATAAGATGGAGGAGGAGAGATGATGTAAGTTGCCTTGAGCCCTTTGTAGGAAAAAGGCAGGATATAAATCGAAAACTGAATAAAAATAAATAAATAAGTATTGCAAACTTTAGCCTGCTCTACAGATGCAGGTGGGTAGATTGCTGAAATGGTAGAATGGACTATATTAGTTCAGACTTGGGTAGTGGATCACATTTTCTCTCCCTATTCAAATTAAGTAAAATAACTAGCAGCTCAGGCTAGTATACTGTATTCCAGCCTATACTGTGTAGTGTGAAGTTATCAAATTGTAGGGTTCTTCTCAAAAAGGGGAAGATTAAAAAATGACATTCCCCACACTTGCAATAAGTCCATTCTCCCTACTCCATTCCACTATGTGTGGGTGTTATAAATGGTTGCTCAGCTGGTCACCTATGGTGAGCAACACTAATCTCCAAGTAACCTAGAAGTTTCATTTTTTGGCAGTGAGTTTTAAACAGGGAAGTTGTACATAAGGCTTCAAATTTATTATTTCATGCACAATATGCTAATAGTAAGCAAAGTATAATAAACTGACAATCAGTAAACAGACAATCTCAGCAAAAGCTGGGCATTCTAAACATTTGGCGTTTGTAGAATCCAGACCATCTTGCCTTCTTTCATAGGCTTTGCAGAGCAATCCTCTACGCACTTACTTGGGTAAAAGTGCCATTGGTTATTTCGGAGTAGATGTGTATAGAACTGTGGGGAGAATGTGTTCTATGGAACAAATACCTTATTTGCAATACAGCCCAATGGAGTTTAATAGGACCTAATCCCCAGAAAATATACATAGGAGGAACAAAATCCAGCCTCAACAATTTTACTAAAAATCACATCCCACTTAATTCAAAATTTGTACGGCCTGATGCATCTTTAAAACACCAGAGTTCAAATGCAGCTTGCTCCAGTCCTAAGCAAAGTTTGAAAGTGTGGGTACAATCCTTAGCATGTTTAAACAGTCAGCAACTACAACTCCCAGCATTTCCCAGCCAGCCATTCTGGATTGAGAACTCTAGAAGTTGTAAGCCCTTTTTTCTGGCGAAACATGCATAGAATAACGCCTAAAACAGTTTGCACAAACTGGGACTTACTTCAAAGTAGTACATATGAATAAGATCGAGCTACAATAAGCTAACAGACCAGGGGAGAAGTCCTACTGAACTCTGTGGGATTTACTTCCGAGTAAGTGAAGATAAGGCTTCATTAAACAGCAATATTAGTCATACTCAAACACGCGGAAGTGCCCACAAAGGGCAGATAAGAAGGGGTTAAATAACAGGGACAGGAAGGCGGACAAGAACTCGCCGCTTTCCTGGTTCGGGCTTCGGTAGTTTCCGTAACTTGGCCCAACGATTCCCGAAGAGATGTGCGAAAGGTTCCACGAGGAATTTGCGCACAGTACGTCGCATGCGTAGTTCTATGCGCTGCGCATGCGTAGTAAAGAGGAAGGAGTTGGGCGCTTGCTGCCATCATGGCGGGTCCAGATGCTGAGCGGGGAGCGGCGAACGCCGAGCCTGAGGTGACTCCTCCGCCCTTGGAAGGGCTGCAACTGATTCAGCAGGGGGCCGAGGCTCGGGTCTATCGGGGTCAATTCCTTGGCCGCCCAACCGTGATGAAGCTCCGTTTCCCCAAGCGATACCGGCACCCAGTGCTGGAGGAACGTCTGAGCCGGAAGCGGACAGCACAAGAGGCCCGATCGTTGTTACGCTGTCGACGGGCAGGTGGGGGTGTGGCTTGAGCAGGGATTGGGCGAAACGGGAACCAATGGGCGGGCTTTTAATTTCTCTTTTAACTAAAGTAGCTCTCGCAAAGTAAGGCGAGAAAATACTAGCTGTTTAGTTTTTTAAAAATGTGATAGAAATCAGTGCTAATACACAGCTTCGTTATATTCTGCGCTTGCTTGAAGCTAAAATTGTTTTTGCATATGCCTGGAACAAGCAGCACTTACAGAAGGCAATGTATTCCACGATCATAGTTTTGTTGTTGTTAGTCGCAAAGTCGTGTCCGACCCATTGCGACCCCATGGACAACATTCCTCCAGGCCTTCCTGTCCTCCACCATCCCCCGGGGTCCACTTAAGCTCGCACCAACTGCTTCAGAGACTCCATCTAGCCACCTCATCCTCTGCCGTCCCCTTCTTTTGCCGTCAGTTGTTCCCAGCATTAGGGTCTTCTCCAGTGAGTCCTTCCTTCTCATTAGGTGGCCAAAGTATTTGAGTTTCATCTTCAGTATCTGGCCTTCTAAAGAGCAGTCAGGACTGATCTCTAGGACTGACCGGTTTGATCGCCTTGCAGTCCAAGGGACTCGCAGGAGTCCCCGCCAGCACCACAATTCAAAGGCCCCAATTCTTCGGCACTCAGCCTTCCTTATGGTCCAACTTTTACAGCCATACATTGCAACTGGGAAAACCATAGCCTTGACTATACGCACTTTTGTTGGCAGGGTGATGTCTCCGCTTTTTAGTATGCTGTCTAGATTTGCCATAGCTTTCCTCCCCAGGAGCAAGTATCTTTTAATTTCTTGGCTGCAGTCCCTGTCTGCGGTGATCTTGGAGCCCAGGAAAATAAAATCTGTCACTACCTCCATTTCTTCCCCTATTTGCCAGGAAGTGAGAGGACCGGATGCTATGATCTTAGTTTTCTTAATGTTGAGTTTCAAGCCAACGTTTGTGCTCTCCTCCTTCACCCGCATCAAAAGGCTCTTTAGTTCCTCTTCACTTTCTGCCATTAGAGTGGTATCATCTGCATATCTGAGGTTGTTGCTATTTCTCCCAGCAATCTTAATTCCAACTGGTGATTAATCTAGCCCTGCCTTTCTCATGATGTGCTCTGCATATAAGTTAAATAGGCAGAGCGACAGTATACAGCCTTGCTGTACTCCTTCCCAATTTTGAACCAATCAGTGGTTCTGTGTCAAGTTCTCACTGTTGCTTCTTGGCGTGCATACAGGTTCTCAAGAGACAAATAAGATTGGTACTTCCATCTCTTTAAGAACTTGATTTTGAGCATAACTTTGCTAGCAAGTGAAATGAGTGCAATGGTGTGGTAGTTTGAAGATTCTTTGGCATTGCCCGTCTTTGGGATCAGAATGTAAACTGACCTTTTCCAATCCTGTGGCTACTGTTGAGTTTTCCAAATGTGCTGGCATATTGCTTGTAGCACTTTTACTGCATTGTCTTTTAAGATTTTGAATAGCTCAGCTGGAATACTGTCACCTCACTAGCTTTGTTGTTGCTCAGGCTTCCTAAGCCCATTTGACTTCACATTCCAGGATGTCTGGCTTGAGGTCAGTGACCTCGAGCCATTATAGTTATCAGGGACGTTAAGCTCTTTCTTGTATAGTTCTTCTGCATAATCATGCCACCTCTTCTTAAGCTCTTCTGCTTCTGTTAGGTCCCTGCCATTTTGGTCCTTTGTCATGCCAATCTTTGCATGAAATTTCGCTTCCTATCTCCAATTTTCTTGAACAGATCTCTGGTCTCCCTATTCTATTGTTTTCTTCTATTTCTTTGCACTATTCATTTAAGAAGGCATTCTTATCTCTTCTAGCTATTCTCTGGAATTCTGCATTATCTTTCTCTTTCTCCCTTGCCTTTCACTTCCCTTCTTTCCTCAGCTATTTGTAAAGCTTCCTCAGACAGCCATTTTGCTTTCTTGCATTTCTTTTTCTTAGGGATAGTTTTAGTTGCTACCTCTTGTACAATGTTGCGAACCTCCATTCATAGTTCTTCAGGCACTCTTTCTATCAGATCTAATTCCTTAAATCTATTTGTCACCGCTACTGTATATTCATCAGAGGTATGATTTAGGTCATACCTGAGTGGCCTAGTGCTTTTCCCTACTTTCTTCAACTTAAGCCTAAATTTTGCAACCAGAAGCTCATGATCTGAGCCACAGTCGGCTCCTGGTCTAGTTTTTACTGACTGTATAGAACTTCTCCATCTTTGGCTGCAGAGCACATAGTCAGTCTGATTTCTGTGTTGACCATCTGGTGATAGCCATGTATAGAATCGTCTCTTGGGTTGTTGGAAAAGAGTATTTGCTATGACCATGGTATTCTCTTGACAAAATTCTACCAGCCTGTGCCCTGCTTCATTTTGTACTCCAAGGCCAAACTTGCCTGTTATTCCGGTTATCTTTTGGCTTCCTACTTTAGCATTCCAATCCCCCATGATGATAAGGACATCAATTTTTGGTGTTAATTCTAGAAGGTGTTGTAGGCCCTCATAGAACCAGTCAACTTCAGCCTCTTCAGCACCAGTGGTTGGGGCATAGACTTGGACTACTGTGATGTTGAATGGTTTGCCTTGGATTCGAACTGAGATCATTCTGTCATTTTGGAGATTGTACCCCAGTACTGCTTTTCCTACTCTTTTATTGACTATGAAGGCTACTCCATTTCTTCTGATGGATTCTTGCCCGTAGTGGTATACCTGATGGTCATCTGAATTAAATTCACCCATTCCTGTCCATTTTAGTTCACTGATTCCTAAGATGTCGATGTTCAGTCTTGTCATCACTTGTTTGACCACGTCCAGCTTGCCCTGATTCATGGAACTTACATTCCAGGTTTCTATGGAGTATAGATCTTTACTGCATCGGACTCTCCTTTCACCACCACATACATCTGCAACTGAGTGTCCTTTTGGCTTTGACCCAGTCACTTCATTCTTTCTGGAGCTACTAGTACTAGCCCTCCGCTCTTCCCCAGTAGCATATTGGACACCTCCCGACCTGAGGGGCCCATCTTCCGGCGTCATATCTTTTTGCCTTTTGGTAATGTCCATGGGGTTTTCATGGCAAAGACACTGGAGTGGGTTGCCATTTCCTTCTCCAGTGGATCACGTTTTGTCAGAGCTCTCTGCCATGACCTGTCCGTCTTGAGTGGCCCTGCACGGCATAGCTCATAGCTTCATTGAGCTACGCAAGCCCCTTCGCCATGACGAGGCAGTGATCCATGAAGGGAGATCATAGTTTACTATTGTGTTATTTCTATCCGTTCCAAAAATTTTAACATTGATTCCTTTTATTAACAGTAAAAATATATCTAATAGTTTAACATGCATCTTAATGTGGATCTCTCCTCTATCCCTTGCTTTGGGAATTACAGAACTGTTCTTTCTATAAGGTTGTAAATATCACCATTCTCTGTGCAGCCTGTTCATTGCAGGGCGCTATCAGAAATGGGATTCAATAAGAAATAATGTTTTGACTTTTTTATAGAGCCCGCGCTTCCAAACTTCGTCTCAGTTTCTACTTCTATGTGGGGAACTTTAGGCTGAGAATATTCTAAGCAAGTTTCTGGTCAGTTGCAGCTGTTTTACTTCCTCAAAGCTTTGTTAAATGTGCTGGAATCAGAAAGCTCAGAACCTGAAGATTCTTGGTGTCCAACTTGGTGGTTTGTGTCAGCTTTGAGCTGAGGGACGTTATGTGCTCCTATCCTGAAACTCCTCATAAACACACTACAGGTCCCAGCTACTTTCCCCAACTATGTCACATTTCTCAGACTCCTTGGATTTAACAAGAGAGGGAAGGAGCCAAGATGGGCAGCTGCAGTTTGCTGTGCTTTCTGAGACACAGTTTTAATGATGACTGTAATAGAGCTTTAAGTTTATTAAGGCTGTAAAAGAGAAAGCTGGAGTTTGCCAACTCTGCAACTCAATCTTGTTTATTAGGGGAGATGTGATGTTAGAGCTGCCCTTGTGTCACATCCTATCCTGAACAGCAAGTAGAATTTAAGGCAGATTGGACAAATTTGGTTGCCTTGAGGCAAGATTCTGTGGTCATAGATGGTGAGGTTAAACACTGATACAAGCTTGAAATTGTTTTGTATATTGACTACAAAAAGAAGCTTTACACGGTCAGAAAACTTTTTATTTTATGATAATATATATTATTTTGCATGATCAGTATATTTAATGTGCACATTAATCTTTAATACTAAAGATTAATAGTGTATGATCCTTCTCTTTGTAGGAATTTCAGCTCCAGTTGTATACTTCGTAGACTACGTTTCCAACTGTATATATCTTGAAGATGTTGTGGGATCAACCACAGCCCGAGACTATATAATCTCTGAACAGCAATCTGGAAACAGTGCCAACAATCTTATTTTGTTGGCAGAGAAGATAGGTGAAATTTTGGCACAAATGCATGATGAGGATCTTGTACATGGAGATCTCACAACTTCTAACATGCTTTTGCGACCTCCTGCAGAAAAGCTGGAGTTGGTGTTAATAGATTTTGGACTGAGCTTTATTTCTGCTCTTCCTGAGGATAAGGGTGTTGATTTGTATGTCTTGGAGAAAGCCTTTTTGAGTACCCACCCAAACACAGAGGTTCTCTTTGAAGCACTTTTGAAGAAGTACTCAGCTGCATCTAAAAAATCAGTCCCAGTGATTAAAAAACTGGATGAAGTACGGCTAAGAGGAAGAAAGAGATCCATGGTTGGATAAAACAATGCAAGCAACATATAGAACAGCGAGGAGAGGTTTAACTCTTTATGCCGTTTGAATATTTTTAAGTATGTAAACTTATAAAATAAAATTCAGTAATTGTCATTGTATCATAATTTTACAATCAAGTTGTTTGTGATTTTATTGGTTACCTTATGATAGCTGAAAAAAATGAAGATTAATGCGAATAACTGCCGAAGGATACAGTTTGACTTCTGTGTCATCTGTCATACTTGTGTAAGGCAAACATTAATTTATATTGCAAATGTTAACAGAAGGCTATCATAGGAAGATTGCATTAATGTTTGACATGGTTTCCTTATGTCAGACTATGCCTAGGATAGACTTCTGGCCTTAAAGACCTAGTAAACAGCCTGACCTTATTTGGCAATTTGGCACCCTTAAGACTGCTGCTTATGAAGGGTTTTGGCTAGCCTCATTCAGCACTGGATCAGGCTATTGGGCTGTAGGCCTGTTCTTGTTTTCTTGGGTATAAACCACACTGAATCCAGTGGGAGATGTGTCTTGGGGGATTTCCTCAGGAAAATTAGGTGAGGGGAAGGAGCATGCAGGCCGCGGCCCCGTTTATGATGGTCTCTTCACTTTGTCATCTGCAAAACCTGACAGTGCTGAGGATGCATGGCCGCTTCGCGGGTGTGAGGTATGGTTTGCAGCTCGGCCCCCGCGTCCTTGAAACCCGAGCCTGTTTACCAGAAAGAGAGTCCAGCTCACCGGTTGTGGTCTACAGGGATCTCTTTCGGGTACCTCAACTGCCTAGAAGGCTGCAGACAAGCGAAAGCGAGTGGCTAAACGAACCGGGGAGAAACCGCACGCAGGAGGAGAGCGGGCGGGCGGGCGGGCGGGCGCACGAGGGCCGTCGCCTGCCCGCTCGCGCGTTGCCTGCGGATGTGCGGCGCAGCGCGCTATGTGCGCTCGCTCGCAAGGGGGCGGAGCGGCGGCTGCAGTGGCGGAGCGGCGGCGCGCGGGACTGCGGCGAGGAGCGGCGCTCCCGCGGCGAGTTCGAGACTCCCCCGCGCTTTTCTCCGCAAGCGTCCTAGCGCGCCCGGCTGCTCGTGTCGGGTGCGTATTCACTTACTTGCTAGAGAAAACGGCTCCAGGCCTAGTGCCCGTTTCCCCTGTGGATCCAGGGTTCCACCGGCCAGGGCATAATTTTACCCCACGGTGTCCATCCTGCGGCAAATAGGCCGCAAAGGGCGATCATCTTCTTCATCTCTGCTCAGAAGGGACCAGAATTCACTACCCGACACTGCAGGATTGCGTCGTCGTTGTTGTTGTTAGTCGCGAAGTCGTGTCCGACCCATCGCGAACCCATGGACAACATGGATTACTTAGTCCCACTGAATATAAGCCGCATGGATTCCAAAAAAAAAAAAAAGAATTAAACTTGCTCATTCAAATCCTGCATGTCAAATACTGTTGTGCAGGGTTGCAGCTAGCCAAACAGGCGCACTTTTCCAGGATACTCAAGTCCTCCCCCGCGGTGGTTTACCATTCCTGACCCCCAGCTTGGAGTGGCAGCTTTCTGTACCCACCTAACACGCTCCGTCCTCATTGTGCTTTGGGGCGTCGTTGCTTCCTTAGGGGTCCAAATATTTGTTATATTTCTGCAGCCTTTGGGGTTTCCCTGAAACTGCTGAAACCTTTTTCTTGCGCAGTGACAGCACCACTTTTGTTATATAGGGACTACGGCTTCATATATAATGCTGATTTGGAGCTAGAAGAAATCACCCCTTTTGCTGTTCTTTGAGGACATTGATTTGGACTAGATGGCAGATACTTCTCCACTCATGTTGGCTCAGATCAGCTACAACCCCACCAATCCATTTTTGGTAATATTTATTTTATTTCTATACTGTCCAACAGCTGAAGCTCTCTGGGCAGTTCACAACAATGTATCAAAATACAAAAGAGGTACAACAAAAATACAAACACAGTAAAACAAAATATAAAATTCCATTAAGATGGTTTAAAATCCCAATATCCAAAAATGTGAACAATTTAGACATCTGAAGCAATTTCAGTAAAATGAGACCTAATTAAAACAGCTGACATAACCCATCTATGAAATGCATTAATAGCCATTAATGCAGGAAGAAAATGTGGGCTGGCATGATCTCCCTTTTCTCCCTCTTCCCCATTTATGCTTTGATTCCCTTGCTGATGCATGACTTTCTGCTAAAGCAGTTTGCCATAACAACTCCTTTTCTGGCTGAGCATGATGCACAACAAAGATATTTTGCATGTGAAGTCCCTTCCATCACCTTGGCTGCATGCCGCTGACAGCTACACCTATATATATTTATTACATTTCTACTGCCCAAAAGCTGGAGCTCTTGAGGCAGTTCAAACCATTAAAACCATACAATGCAGCACCATAAAACTGGACATGAAACTTTAACAAGCTTAAAACAACAGTATAAAATCAAAGTAAAAACCATCAGCAGTATAAAGATTTAAAATTTTCATTAACTTTGGGCTCAGGTCAGAGTGGGAATTACTTCCATGTAAACATTACTGTGCCTACTTTACATAGGCTTGTAGACTGGCAGAAAGAGTAGCTGTTTCAATAGCTGTGCAATTTTAAACTGTGATCCTATGCAAACATACCTGGGCATAGGTCCTACTGAGCACAGTGGGACTTATATAAAAGTAATCTAACCCAAGAAGCTTTAGGGCACAATACTATGTGGCAGAAGTAGTAAGATTTTTTTTTTCTTTGAAACATGCAAAGGATTTCACTCTTCACTGAAAAGATCAATGAATAATGCTGGGAACTGTAGGACCTTTTCTGCCTAAAGTTTGCATAGAATTACACCCTTAATAGTGTAAGTTTATGAACTCAAAAGCAAAGGCTTGTAAATCATATATAAGACCTGGAAACTGTGTGACCCTTTTTGAAATTATTGTGAGTAGTGCACATTGTTTCAGAGACTGAGAGAGCCATGGGATAGCTTTCGATCCATTTATCAGCATGAAATCCTACTGGATAAGAGAGTTCGTTTTTCTTTGTTTAAACAAATAGTTCTGTTGGTGGAGAAAATAACAGGGCAAGCTCAGTAAACTGAAAATGTAAACTGAAAATGTAAACTGAAAACAAATGTAAACTGAAAATGAAATTGCCTCTGAGTGAGGCAATTCCAACAAGCAATCTGACTTGGAGGGAGAATAAAGGGCATGTCAGAAAGCACAATTTCTACTGGTTTTTAATAAATACCAAGTTGATTATTGAGTCTTATTTCTCGCACCGAGACTCAATCTCTGCGGCGCAGGATTTATCACTGGGGTGGCTGTCGCTTGTGCTGTGGGTGAAACCTTGCAGATCTCGGCCTGGTGGCCTACTAGCATAAGAACCCAAGCCATCCATTCTCTCCGAGGCAGCTGCATTCTCACTGAGTCGAACCTTCCTACTGACCTAAAGGTCTGCTTAGTAGCAGGAGCATCTATATGGTTTGCGCTCAGATGGGAACAAGTCTGGGATGTGGTTTGTGGGTTTGGGCTGTAAGAATGTAATGGTCCCCAAGAGGGACCGCTGTCTAGGAGAGACCTGAGTGCCATCTGTGTTTGGTGTGGCCCTTGCAACACCAACCTTTGCTGTCTCCAGGACACTTGTCTCATGGTGATATAGGCTCATGTGGCATGTTTCTCACCGTAGTTTGTCAAGAGCGGCTCACAAAAGATGAGAAAATGCTTCAACTGGGAGGTTACTGATTTGAGCCAGATTTGTTCATTATGTGCAAACAGGGATCAAGGAAATGAGTCATGAGGGGTTGCTGGCAGCATTTCCCAATGCAGCGTGACCAGATTCAGACCCCAGGTAGTTTAGGTAAAATGTGTTAACATCAACAGGAGTGTGCACAAAGGAAGGTGTATAAAATCAACAAACAACACGAAATGAAAATATAACTGACACCCAGCTTAAAATAACGTATTGACAATGACTTGCAAGTAGCAATACAGATATATAAAGCAGCAAGGCTAAACTTATTCTTGAGGATCTAGATTTAGCTAAGGAGTATCAAATAGGTCTTTCCAGGTGCTTATGTGTGATTGTGAGGTTTTCAACCCCACTCACTTTGGTTGGCTAAATAAATCCAGGGTTGCCAGCATACACAGAATCCAGTATCAGTTATATTATTGGGCATGACCTTTAGCTCTTTGGTTAAATGTTCTAGTAAGGCAATACTCCAAATTCTCCTCTCTCAGCTTTCAGTTGGTGATCTGCTTGTAGATTTCCAGTCTTACACAGATGCTATTCTCAGAGCAGGGCCTTCTCTGCTGTGGTGCCCAGACTCTGGAATGTACTTCCCAGAGAGGTATGCCTGGCACCCAGTTTATACTCTTTTCAGCGCCAGGCCAAAACCTTTTTATTTAAACAGTATTTTAAAATTTAACAACTTTTAACCTTCAGTCGCTCTTTTTGTTTTGTGATTTATTGTTTTGTTCTGTTTCTATTATTCATTAGAAATTGTTGTTTTAATTGTTCTTTTAAATATTGTAAGCCGTCCTGAGATTTTTGTATAATAGGATGGCATACAACAGCTTTTAATAAATTAAAATAGATACATTTTTATGAATTAGAACCCACATAGTCTGCAGGATCATCTGACAAAAACCGTTGCATGGGTTTCCTCTGTCCCTCCTTCTCCCTGCTTTCCCCTCGGTCTTCCAGCTAACGGCAGCCCCTATCCCAGGCTCTTTCCAGTAGAATTGGTGTCCCACAGGCCTGTGTGAGCTCACTATGCCAGTGGCCTTTCCCCGGTTGGTCCACTGTGTACGTGGTTGGGATGTGGTTTGCCTTTGCCAGCTCCCCTCCCTTCCATCCTCTCCCCTGACCGCCCCTTGTTAGCCGCCATCCCCTTTCCACTAATGTGAATGGAAGCGGTTCCGCTCCTTTTCGCTCTGCAGCTTGCACTGAGGATGGCTGAGTGGTGGGCACAGCAGTGGCAGCTGCTTCCCTCTGTCCCCCATAAGAAAAGACTGTTCCTCCCTCCCACCCTGTCGCCTGGAAATAGCCAGATTGCTGTTTATGCTGCAGTCGGGGCGGCCACCTGCCTGGCCGTGCCTTTCTGTCAGGGTTTGGCAGCTCTGGAGTGCCCTCTGGTGGCCAGAACCAAAGGGGGCACTGTAGCAATTGCAGGATTGGGCCCAGAACTTGCTCTTGGCCTCCTGATGAATGCCAAGTGGAAGATCTGGGGGAAGAGCTATCCAACAGCAAGCTTTTCTCTCCACTGGCTCTGCTCCTGCATCTTGCCTGGTCCTTGCTTGTCACGCCCTCTGCTGTTCTGGGATCTTGTCACGCATCTGGGGATGTGGTTGGGAAAGGCTATGTTTACATGTGGGAAGGAAGACAGAGCACTGAAAGAATGTGTAGAAAGAACACAGACCTTTGCAAATGCTTTATGAGTCCTGTCTGGTTGGATGGCTAAGGGTGCAATCCTATGTATAGAATCTCACCCTTAGTCAATAAGATCCTTGATCTCTCACCCTTAGTCAATAAGATCCTTGATCAACACTCGATTGATTGATTGATTTATATCCTGCCTTTTTCCTACAAAGGGCTCAGGGCAGCTTACATCATTCTCCTCCTCCTCCTCCATCTGATCCCCACAACAACAACCCTGTGAGGCAGGTTGAGCTGAGAGTCTGTGACTGGCCCAAAGTCACCCGGTTGGCTCCATGGCCGAGCGGGGACTAGAACCCAGGTCCTCTGAGTCCCAGTCCCATGCTCTTAACCACGATGCCACACTGGCTCTCTATCCCTTTGTGATGGCCTCTTGTGGGCATAACTTCTGGTCTGCTCTATTCTTCTGCATTTGGGGGAGGCCAGAAGTTATTCCCAAAGAGGACCGTGATAAAATGATATGAACAGAAAGCCATGAGGCGGAGCTGAAGTGAGACCTGACCTGCATTCCTGCACTCGTTCCCTGCAGGGTAGAACTCAGTACTCTGGCTTTTGGCCCAAGAGCATCATCTGTAAAAATACCACATAGGGTGGCAGAAGGATTAAATTTTGCTTACAGAGTGCTTTGAAGATGCTCATGTCTAGTTTGCAATGTTATTGTGCAGCTATTACAATGTAACCTTTGGCTGCTTCCTGCAAGTAACCAGAATGCTGCAACAAAGGTAGATCAGCTGCTGATTTTTTATGGGTTGAGAAATGTTCTAAAATATATTTTAAGACTCTCCTTGGACAGAGGTCCTTGCAACTCTTCAGGCATCATCACTGTATGTGTGTGTGTGTGTGTGTGAGAGAGAGAGAGAGAGGGCTGGGGTGGTGGCACAAGAATCCCTGCTTTTCTTAGTTTTTCCTTTTTTATTATTTTTAATTTTAAAAATAAATACCAAAGAAAAAGATACCAAGGAACCTTACACAAATATTACATATAATAGTAAATGCAGGAAATTTCACAAAAAGTCAATAATTATTATTACTTCTACGAAATTTATGAGTACAGTTTAAACTTATTAATGCTTAATTAGAATTAATGCTTATTTAAATTGATTATTAACAATTATTACATTAAATGCTTTAACATGGATATCGAGTAAGTGATCATTCATGTTACAGCATATCTACAAATTCACTAACAAAATAGTAATTGATTTTTTCTTTCCTTTCCTTTCTTATCTTAGTTAATGATTGTAGATTTGGGATGCAATTCCATGCACACTTACTTGGAAGTAAGCACCACTGAACAAAGTATGGCTGAGTTCTGGTATACAGAATTGCACTTTTAGTTTTAGTTCAATCTGTGGTTGCCAGCAGTAGTATGATGGTCTCTTCTCTGGGATCAAGGTATGTGCAGACTCCTTACCGGAATATGGGAAATGTCCACTAGAATGGGGAGCAACTATTGGTTAACACCTGTGATTTTTTCTTCCTAGAAAGAACATAGTTATAGGGTGCAACCAGACAGTAAACTGCCCCATGTGAAAGACTGATCTGCACACCTACTTGTTTTTTTAAAGTTACAGCAGGATTTTAAATCTGGGAAAAAATGTTCTTAGAATGCAACTTCTGTTGGTTTGAAAAATCAGTGATGGTTGATCCAGTCACCACATTTCCATTAGCCTACTCTATTCTCCCAAGATTCCTCCTCGATTTTTCAAGATCACTATCATCTTTATCATGACTAACCAAGCACTCCTAACCTCTGGTGAAGGCTCAAGGAAGGAAGAAGGCAGGGCCTGTCAGGAGATCCATGAGTGTTTGAGACTGTGGGGAATGTTGCCACTAGTCATAGTTCCAAACCAGAATATTCTGGTCAGAGGCAACTCGAGTGGCTTCAGAATTATCCCTGGTAACTACACCAGACTGGACCTTAGGCAGTGTCAGAATTTGGATCTTCCCTAGGGGCCTGAAAAACAAGACAGCCTGGTTCACCTTCCAAATATTGGCAGGATTACTGTGTGACCTGATTACTGTGGCACAAGATTAGCCCCAGTTCACTCATACAGACCACCTGGGAGCCACACACAATTTTTCTATACCGTCATTCATTGAAAATCTCGTGATGGCTTACACAATTTTTAAACAATTAAACCAACAATAAAACAATTAAAAACTCCTTAGTGCCACTACTTGATACTAAATAATTGAAATACCAATTAACAATTAAAAGCTGGATAAATAAAACGGTTTTGGCCAGGCACCAGAACAAATAAAGCGTCTCTGGGGAGCCACTCGGTATACCTCTCACTAGCTGGTGTTACAGTATAGTGAAATTACACAAATGTACGGATGATGCTAGACTTTCCTCAATGTAAACACAGTTGTGGAAAATATTACAGAGAGCAGGGGAGGCCCTGGAGGATGACAATATCATACAAACTAACTACTAACTACTGCTTTGAATAAGGAATCACAATAGCTTTGAATGTGGGAAAGGTTCATGTAGAAAGGTTCTCGGCATAGCCCTACTCCTTTAGCTCCTGTTATCTGCAGTGTGTTGTGGGTTGCTTAAGGCATAATGTGCACATTATGGATGTTTTCTTTCTTTAAAGGAATGGGTTTCTTGCAAGAAGACAGGCACTTCTGAGCTTAAAAATAACTGTTTTCCACTTGCGTAGATATAAACTACCAGCACACAGAGGCATCCACATCCTTGAGCTTAGTGACTGGATTACAGACGGTTTCAGCTGCACAGAGATCACTGATTGATTCCAATGTATGTGTTTAAAGCTCCACCTTGAAATCTAACAGTCAATTTATGGCTGTCATTATAATCATGATCATTCATTTTTCTGTATATAAAGAAATATCAAACTCAGGGAAAAGGAAAAGCTGAAGCATCCCTGGCATACCAGATTTCTGTGCCTAGGGAGAGATGATGATGATGATGATGATGATTAGAACATTTCTATGCCGCCCCTTGCCGAAGCCTTGGGGAGGCTTACAACACAATAAAATACAATACAATACAAAAAGATTTGGGATTTTGCCAGAGGGCAACCTTCTTACCTACTGCTTAAGGTTGTGCAGCCCAGGAAAAATGTCAGCACATAATTCTGTTTATACAAATTAGGTTTCTTGATTTTGTTGCAGTGGAGTTCAGAGCAATCTCTGCCTGTGTTGTGAAGTGCTTATGCTATTCATCTTCTCTCATATAATTTTGGTGTGGCAGAATTGTTTTGCTATACCTATTGTTTTTAATCAGACTGGCTGGATTCTATTATTCCTGAACTGTAATCCTATATCCAGTTAACTATAGGAGTAAGCTTCACTGAACTCAAGTGAGGGTTACTTCTGAGTAGGTATGGATTGTGTAGGACCACTATTGTTCTTATGAACTGCACGTGTGGTTTTAAAATATATATGTCACCTTGGGTGCCTTTGGGCAGGGGGTAAGCCTTGATGACTGAAAGACATGCCTAAAGCAGGCAGAAGTTACTGTTTGGTGCTCCTAGCAGCTTGTCTCACATTGTCCCATGCCACTTAAAATAGCATTAACCCATCAGAAGTTGATGGTGGGCTGGATTATAGTTCTCTGCAGTGCACTTTGTTCATTGTTTGCAGATACTGATGGAGATGGGCTATTTTATTTGAATGGAATTTAGGTGAGGAATAAAGTAGAGACCTGTTCTCCCCTGTAGAGGAAGGCAATGGAGCCAAGCTCAGGGAACCAAGGTTCAATTTGGATGCCAGGAAGTACTTCCTGACAGTTAGGACCCCTAGAGTATGGAATGGACTTCCACGGGAGGTAGTTGAAGCCCAATCGGTAACGGTGTTCAAGGATAGGATAGGCATGCAGATGGCAGGCATGTCATGAGTGGAACCGGCTGGAGCCAGGTATCAGACTAGATGGCCTGGGAGACCCCTTCTGACTCACTCAGTTTCTATGTTTCTAAGTTTAAGAAGGACACAATGGTATGGTAATGCCTGATGGCCACGGTCCTTCTGATGTTAGTGAACCATATGTAGGATTGCTAACTCATTACATTAAATCTGAATGTGCCAAAAATCAATAGGTATCACTTTTCATGCTTGGGGTGAATCATGCCAACTGATTAACCTTTCTAGATCAAGCTGTCTTTACCAGGTGCAACTAAGGAAGCTAAGTGAATAGCTGGCAACCTTGATTGTGTGCCATGATAGGATTCTTCTTTATTGGAAGAAGGCTGAACTGTGCTCATGAAAGAGATGGAAATTACACAGAAGCAACCAATGGACCGGACAGGAAGATGAAAGCAGCGAAAGGAAGCATGCAGCCTGTGTGGCCACCAGAGGTTGCTCTACATCTCCAGCTGGTGGATTTGGTACTATTCGCCTTTTGTACCTTGGCCAGAAAATTCCATTTGAAAATTTCTCTTTAAAACTTGGACTATGAAGGTAAATGACAGTTTCTGTGCAGTTTGGGGGCTTTGTACAAGAGCTACAAAATAAAAAGCTTGTGATTTTGCATAACAGGTCCTGGTGGTGTTGAAAAACAGGCCTTAAGTTACAATGGGCCAATTGAAGGTTAGACAAATCTGTCAATATTGGTTTCTCTTCATTTTTCATTCTTCCTGATTTGTTATAACCTGAGACCTTTTTTAGATGTTTGCATGAATACACTTTAGTCTGCACTTCTAGTACTTCCATTCTTGCATGGTTTCCTGCCCAATACATATATATCTTACGAGTAGTTTTCCTTGTGCAGAAATGGATAGATTGACTTTATCATTGAAGGAGAAAGAAGATACTGTCTTCTATCAAACTTGAGACTCTTTTTATTATTGGCTAGAGAAACGGGACTTTGTATAGATTTAAATATGTTTTTAAGTCATCATAAATGGAAAAAAAATGTGGGGGCTGACCCAGCAGGCCTGATGTTTTTGATGATTGATGTTGTTTTTAGTTTTTCTTTGTTTTTAGGATTATTTTTTCAAATAAAACTTATTATTAGGTTAAAAAAAAAACAAGTAGCTTTCCTAATATAATGCATTTTTATCATCACTGGCTCAAATGTATGCATTTTTTGCAGGTAAACCTTTTTGAATGGCAAACTTCTTTGCAAAATTCAGAGAAATGTGAATTTCAAAGGATAAGTGAGTTTTGGTTTGTGTATTGGCTCAGAGATGCAGTATTTCTCCCCCATCCTTAAATTCCATTGATTTCAGCAGTAAATCAACTGATTACAAGTTAGGAATGACAATAAGGATTATATTTATGAGCAAGAGCAGAATGGTGAAAGCTGCAGGGAGTGAACCTCATGTGTTGGGGTTGCTGGTTGGAATTGTGTGTATTTTGGAAGAGGGAATTGCTGTTATCTGAGCTGACCTTGTCATAATAATAAAAGCACACTGGGTTGTTTCTTCCTTTCAGTTGCTTGCTTTCAAAACTGGTACTCTAGATGGAAATTTCCACACCACATGGTTTGTTGTATAAGTGATTGTTCATGGTGCTCCCCAAAAGAAGATGTATTTAGTTAAAGATACTTATGAATCGCTTATATTAAAATACATTTCCACATGATGTACAAAACCATGGAGTATAAATACATAATTAAATACTGTGTGTTACTATTATATACAGAAGACAAGATGGTCTTTCTAGGCATGTTCTGTGTTTTCAGTAGGTTCCAAAATCTCAAGGGGGGTGGTGCCTGTCTAATGGGCAATGATAGGAAATTCTAGAATTAATAACTGATTTATGATGTTAAAATTCAATTAAATATTAAGTTCATATCCTCTCTTCCCTTCACTGGTGAAATAAGAAAATTATAATTCAGACTTTGGGTCAGCTAGTAGTTGGAAAAGAGAGCAAGTACTAGGGAAAGGTAGAGTGGGAATAAGAGGTAGAATTGCCACTCACCAGAAAAAAATAGTCAGGCTTGCTTCTGTGCTTCTAACAGCAGCTTTATCTGCACAAATCAGCAGCTGTAGCTATTCATGACAAGAAGGTAGGGCAGATTGAAGCTCAAATAGTGGTTAGGAGCACAGGAGAAGAGACTGGTAAAAATGCACAGGTAGTATGGTATCCCCTGTGTAATAGATCCAAGATCTACTTCCATGCAGAGTACAATGAACAAGGGCCTAGTGTTGCCTCCCCAACTCTGCTTCTCCTTGTTCCAGCTGCTGTCATTGCATCCTCTCTCTCTGTCTCTCTCTCCCTGCTGCCCTGCATTTCTGGAAGCCCTGTGCACCTGCTTGCCTGCCATTAGTGCACAAATGTAAAAGAGAGCAATGGGAGGCCGAGAGAAAGAAGTTGAGCCCCAGTGCACTAGGAAGGATCACTGGCATAACGGGTAGGTTCACACACCTGGCACTAACCCAGCAGCATAGTGCAAGTGCAGCACTCGCACGCTGGACCCAAGCCGCGTAAGCATAAGGATGGGCAATCTGTGCCCATCCCTTCAACAGTCAGGATGGTCACCTTACAGGCATCACCTTCATCCCTGGAAGAACACCATCTGCCAACTGGGAATGAAGGGCACCTGTCTGCCAGTGTGAACTGTGCCTCCTCTTTCTTTTAGCACCTGCCCTTTGTTTTTGCATGGCAACAATATGCACAGCATTTCTGGTCAATGACTGGTACATATCTGGGCAGCTGTTTGGTATGTAAGAACATCTTTTCCCAGGCTTTGCACAATGCTATCGGAGTGCTGCTATTTGGAAGAAAAGCAAGACCAGGGAGTGCAATAAAAGCATAAAACCCATTAATGTCTCAAGGTTACTGCAAAAAGGTCACTATTTACAAATAGAGGCATTCCTCAGCCACTAAATTAGCTTCTATACCTAAGCGTCTCTCTTTTTGTTGCTGGTGCTGTCTGCCTCATTATCTGACTGCATGGGAGAAGGGGTGATCATAGTTTCAGTATGATCTCAAGTACCCGTTCCTTTTCAAAACCCAGCTTGAACATTAGGCATTTCTCACTCCATATAGGGTAAAATTCTTTGCTGCAACCATCTTTATGATTGTGCCTTTTGTCAACTTGCAAGCATTCTGGAGAGATCTGCTCCAGTCAACATTCTGTTCCAACCTTCCTTTTACCAACTTTTTCCTTTTACCAACCTTCCTTTCCTTTTACCAAGGAACCTTCCTTTCTGTTCTAACCTTTTAGAGAAGCCTCCCCTTTCGAAGTCAAACACGATTGTGCTGGACTGATAAAGACAGGCTGTGCTCAGTTCCTGGCTTCTGATAATCCTCGAATCTCTCCTTGGAGTCCTTTCCAATTTGTTAACATCCTTCTTAGATTCAGCTGATGAGAGCTGAGTGAACACAGTTGACCAGATATGGGTTATCACACAAGTTGACCAAAACAATCTGATTAGAGGACTTTCTGAATGTAGACCTTTCAGTTGTTGGCTGATTTCCAACTCTGGCATTCTTCACCAGAATTGTTTTGATATTTTACTGCTATAGGCTTGACTCTGTCAGCTATCCCACCTTTCCATTGCCTCCAACTCTTTTGGTGGCTAATCTTTGAAGGAGAGAACTCATTTTCATACTTGTTTGTTGTTAATACTTCTCCGTCTCCCAGGCATGTTGCAGGGTCTATTTCATCAGTAGCTGGAACATGTGTTAAGATGTACTGAGGACACTGTGGAATTAAATGAAGAGACCAGGCTATTTTGCTTTTGGATTTTGCTCTTTGCGACATAAACACATTAGTGTGGCAGAAGGAAAATTCAGCTAATTATCTGCTGTCCTCTCATCTTTCAGTGCTTTGATCTGTTCTTCAGTTTGATTATGAAGCATGGAATGGCAGCTGTATCTTCTGCCCTTTTGTCCTGTGTCCCCACAGCTAGGATTCTTTTGCTCATTGCACTGTTAAAAGGTATATTCTCTTTCCATATTGTCAGTGTTTTTCTCCATTAGGGCAAGGAAGAAAAGAGCATTGCTGCTTGGTCATTACAGGAATCCACTTCTCTTGAGGTTTTTGATGTCAGACTGGCACAAACTGTAAAATTCAATGAATGAGACAAGGCTATGGCTCCACAAGAGCATCCTCTGGAAGCAACTTGTATCTTAATTCTGCTGGTCCACAAAGATAGGCAGGCAATTCCATCTAGGGTGGCCAGTTGTGTATTACCAGAAAAGAGTAATTTTTGCAGAGAACACAAGAGACAGCAAGAACTATTTGCACAGAGCTTGGACACAGAGCTATATATGTATTGGTAAAAATGTAGGAATAACAGTAATTCAAATCATTGTAGTGAAGACAGATCAAGTGCCCTGCATGCCTGCTCAAAGCTGCTGTTCAAGGACTAAATGCTGGTGGTCCTCGTTCTCCCTTCTTTGGTCTTTTGGCTTTAAATTAGACCTGGACTGAGCAGCCCATCAAATAGATGACAGGTTTAAATAGAAGACTGTCCTCTGACAGCTCTACAAAATCAAGAACTGCTCTCCATAAAGTTGGGCAGTTGATCCCCTTGTTTTTTTCCCAGTGTCCATGCTTTCTCAAAACAAATAGTGGGAACTTCTGGGTTAGGCATGGGTGGAGCTTCTTGCTTAGATTCAGACATTTTTCCCCCAGAGATCCACCAAAAGCTCCTGAACAATTTTAGAATCCAAACTGCATCATGATATTTCTCTTTGACTGCTGCAGGGATGAAGACTCCATATGTGAAACTCTAGGGTGTGTGGCTATTTTCCAAACGATCATCAAAATTGTAATAGTTGCTTGAAAACTCCAGTGTTGCAAAATATTGCTTTACTGAAAAAACTCTGTTATGAAATGTCTTCATGAACTTTCAACTTTTAATGACACATTAGTTATTTCCTCTGTTTATAATGGCAAGACTGTGAATGCCCATTGCATATGTAGCTAAAATTATGGAATCCACACATAATTGCTCTCACATCCCTGAAAATTTCTAAGATACAAATACAATATGAATGTCTTGTTTTACTGAAAAATCCCATGATGTTCATTTAACTGCAAGGATGCAATCTGATGGACACTCACATTACTACAAGCCCTTATTATAAACTGTTATCAAAGGAATAAGAAATAGTTGTATTCCTGCCCACTCATCATCATCATCAAATATCCACAGGAAAAAGTATCCAGGTAAACACTCCAAGCAAAGGTAGCTCCATGAAGACATACTCATGTTTACCTAAAATAAGGTTCTGTTGAATTTATTTGGGCTTCTCCCATATCCACCAGTGGAGAAAATATTTTTTAGAAGGAATAATAAAAAAAATAAGTTGTGAGGAAGGGAAAGCAGTGCTTCCTCCTTTGGTTTGACTGTATTGGGTGCAAAGCTGTTTCCCTCCAGTGATCATTAGACATGGTAAAAGAGATTACAGGTTTCGCCCCACAGGCACTTACTGTACACTTGTGATTTCTTACTCACAGTGGTTTGCAGGGGCTTTACACAATATCAGGCCTTTCCCACATT